AGAGAGACATTGATTGTCTGCCTCCTGCACACCCAGTGGGGATCGAGCCAAAACCAGGGCATGTTCCCTAACCAGGAATTGAACTGGGACCTTTCAGTCCATGGGATGAAGCTCAATCCAATGAGCAACACTGGCCGGCTAATTTGTCAATTTTTTTTTTAATCCTCACCCAAGGGTATTTTTCTCTTTATCTTCAGATAGAATAGGAGGAAGAGAGGGAGAGAAAGGGAGAGAGAGAGAGAAACATCCATGTGAGAGGAATACATCGACTGGAGGCCTTCCTGCACGACCCGCACCAGAGCCAGGGATGAACTGCAACCGAGGTATGTGCCCTTGGCTAGAATCGAACCCGCGACTCATTGGTCAGGCCAGTGCTCTACTGCTGAGTCAAACTGGCTGGCCAGGGCTAATTTGTCAAATTTTTTTTTAATTTAATTAATTAATTTATTTTTGTTGCAGATGTTTCTCCTTTTTCCCCCACTAATACCCTCCTCACCAACCCTCCCCACGCTGTCCCCAGCTTTGTTGTCCATGTCCATTGTTCATGCATACATGCATATAAATTCTGTGGTTTATCTCTCCCCAGGATTGTCAGTCTGTACCCCACTTCCACGTCTTTGGGACTACCCCATTTCTCAGACTGTTATGTTCATTTTATTCCACAAATAAGTGAGATCATGTGATATTTGTCTTTCTCTGCTTGGCTTGTTTCGCTTAGGATAATACTCTCCAGGTCCCTCCATGTCATCTCAAAGGATAAGAAATCTTTCTTTCTTACAGCTGCATAGTACTCCATTGTGTATATGTACCACAGCTTTTTTATCTGTTTGTCTACTGATGGACATTTGGGCTGTTTCCAGATCTTAGCTATTGTAAATAGCGCTGCTGTGAACATGGAGGTACATATATTCTTTCTGATTGGTGTTTCAGGCTTCTTAGGCTATATTCCTAGAAGTGGGATCACTGGGTCAAAAGGCAGTTCAATTTTTAATTTATTTATTTATTTTTTATCCTCACCTGAGGACATTTTTTTCCATTTTTTTGTTCAGATAAAGTGGGAGGGAGAGAGAGGAAGAGAGAGAGAGAGAAACATCAATGTGAAAGGGACACATCGAGTGGCTGCCACCCGCACGACCAACCAGGACCAGGGACAAACTGCAACCGAGGTATGTGCCCTTAGCGGGAACTGAACCCCTGTCTCTCTCGACCACAGGCCAACGCTCTAACCACTGAGCAAAACCAACCAGGGTTCAATTTTTAATTTTTTGAGGTTTTTCATATTGTTTTCCTTAGTGGCTGCACCAATCTGCATTCCCACCAGCAGTGTACTACAGTCCCCTTTTCTCCACATCCTCGCCAACACTTGTTGTTTGATGATTTGTTGATGCCGGCCATTATGACAGGTGTGAGGTGATACCTCACTGTTGTTTAATTTGCATCTCTCTAATGATTAGTGATGTTGAGCATTTCTTCATATGTCTCTTAGCCATTTGTATGTCCTGTTAATTTGTCAATTTTTTAACATGCACATTCAGAAAACCTTTATTTTATAACGGACACCCCCTTGCTGGAATCAGTCTGTTACATCAGGTTTTACTATACTATTATTTACTTAATATTTCTTTGAAACTGACTTTAAGTCAATATATACCCTCCTTTTAAGTTGAGGGACAGCCCTGGCTGGGTAGCTCAGTTGGTTAGAGCATCATCCCGATAGGCCAAGGTTGCAGATTTGATTCCCGGGCAGGACACATACAAGAATCAACCATTGAGCCCTGGTTAGGTAGCTCAGTTGGCTGGACTGTGTCCTTTTGCACCAAGGCTGCAGGTTCGATCCCCGTCAGGGCACATACAGAGAATCAACTAGTGAATGATGAATGAATCAGTGGGAGAACAAATTGATGTTTCTTTCTTTCCCTCTCTCCCTCCCTCTCTCAAATCAATAAATAAAAAATTTTAAAAGAATCAACCAATGCCCGGCCGGTGTGGCTGTGGTTGAGCGTCGACTCATGCACCAAGAGGTCGCCAGTTCGATTCCCAGTCTGGGCACGTGCCCAGGTTGTGCGCCAAATCCCCAGTGGGGGGCATGCAGGAGGTGACCAATCGATGTTCTCTCTCATCGATGTTTTTTTCTCTCTCTCCCTCTTCCTTCCTGTCTCTCTCAAAGCAATAAAGAAAAAAAAATTAAAAAAAAAAAAAGAACCAATGAATGCATAAGTGGAACAACATATCGATGTTTCTCTCTCCTCCTTCCTCTCTCTAAAGATATTTTAAAAATAGAGGGACAGTCTGGCCAGTGTGACTCAATGGTTGAGTGTCCACCCATGCACCAAGAGGTTGCCAATTTGATTCCCGTTCAGGACACATGCCCAGGTTGTGGGCCCAGCCCCCAGTGGGGGGCATGTAGGAGGCAGCCATTCGGTGTTCTCTCTCATCGATGTTTTTATCTCTCTCTCCCTATCACTTTCTCTCTCTCTAAAATCAGTAAAGGGGAAAAAATAATAAAAAATAGAGGGATGACTTATATACAATAAAAATACCCACTTTAAATATACAGTTTGAATTTTGGCAGGTATATACAGTTCTATTACCAGCAACATAGTGAAGATAGGAAACATTTCGATCTCCCTGAAAAGTTCCCTTGTGCTCCTTTCCAGTGAGCTCCAGTTCAGATTTCTGTCATTACGTTCTAGCCACCCACACCCTCCGCCCCTTCCTTTTTTTTTTTAAACTTAGATTTTACTAAATAGTAATGTCTGTGAATTCAGAGTTTGAGTTATTTTTTTCCCCCTATTCATGTGAAATTAAACGCCTAATTTTTGTTGTTACACTTTGGTAACTACTTCTCTATAGTCACTTTTAAAATTTTCTCAGCTTTCATGCATGCTTAATCAAACTCTTGTATACATTGTCTAGCACTGTAACAGGTACTGTGGATATGAAATGTGAATCAGAAAATAGTGGCTAGTCCGGCTGGTGTGGCTCAGTGGTTGAGCATCGACCCATGCATCAAGAGATCGCCATTTCGATTCCTGGTCAGGACACATGCCCAGGTTGTGGGCCCAATCCCCAGTGGGGGGCATGCAGGAGGCGGCCAATCAATGTTCTCTCTCACTGATGTTTCTCTCCCTCTCTTCCTCTCACTTCTTTTCTCTCTAAAAAAGCAATAAAGAAACAAAAATTAAAAAAAAAGAAAGTAATGTCTGCCCTCCCTTGAAGCTTATGGAGGCATGGCTTTTAGTTTCAAGGAACCAACTAATAAATATACAGTTTTTGTAGAGCACTTTTTGTTTTTACTTAGAACCTAATATTTTGCTGCAACTAAATAACATTTTATATTTTGGGTTATCCAGTTAACACAACCAGCACATGAGGGTCTACAGCATTGGAGGCAAATCATATTCACATTAAATTCAAGCAAATTTAACTATAAATGCTATTTTCCTCCTTTCTTCCCTCCTCTCCACTTCAATTCCTAAAAGAGAGTAGAAGGAAGGACAGTTTAAATGTAAGCAAGTCCACTGAATGAGTGTGTGTGCTGTAGAGACTCAGATGGGGGTATATGAAGCTGCAGTTCCCTCCTGTTCTTCACAGGAATTGCAGCAGTAGGGCACACAACGAGGAGATGATACAATACCAAATGTACTACAACATACTGCACACCTACTCCAAATAAGATACTACTAAGTACAATCGGCAGTATGAGCAGAAAAGAAGATAAATACACTTCAAGATTAAGAACAGAACAAGAGAGCTTCTGTAACTGTTTATAACCACCTGATACTATATAGAGATTCAAGGCAATACAATGACCTAAAAATTGCTACTGAGATTAAGGGAAAAAAAGGAAAGGAATGTGTCTGTTTTAATCCTGCAAGAATTTTAAAGATTTTATTTTTTGATGGGAGATAGATGTACACTGGTACTGAAATCCAAAAGGAACAAAAGAGTATGGACTGAAGACTCCCTCTGACCTCTAGGCCCATCCTTGCAGTTCTCTTCTCTGGAGGCAGTCACTATTACCAGCTCATGTAAGCTTCTAGAGTTTATACAAGCACTTACAGATTTATGAATGTCTTAGTCCTGTGGCTGCTGTAACACATTAGCAAAAGTCGGATGGCTTAGAACAATAGAAATGCGTTCTCACAGTTCTGGACCCAGAATTTGAAATCTGTATCACTGGGCTGAATCAAAGAGTTGGCAGGGCTGCCGCACTACCTCAGAGGCTCTAGGAGAGAATTCCTTCCTTATTCTAATTTACATTGCCTGCCAACGAACACTCCTTCCTTGGTTTGTGGCCCTGTCACTCCAGTTTTGAGGCAAACATCTTCAAATTTTCCTTTGCTTCATTCATCTTCACATAGCTTTCGTGTGTGTGTGTTTAGTCTCCTTCTATTTCTGTCTTATATGGATACATTTAGGGCTCACCTGGATAAATCTTGCCATCTCAAGAACCTTGAACTAATCATATCTGCAAAGTTTTGCCATATAAGGTAAATCCATAAATTTCAGGGGTTAGGGTGTGCATATCTTTTGGGGGGACATTTTTCAGCTACTGCAACAGTATAACAAATAGCATACTAGACACTTTTCTGAACCTTGTTTCTAAGAGTAAAAAACTGGAATAACCTAAGAGTTTATTAATTCAGGACTGGTTAAATGATAGTACATCCATAGAATGGAATAAGGTGTTACCACTAAGAAAAATGAGTGAACATACTGATGTGGAGCCATATTCACTATATAGTAAAAAGTAAATAAAAAATGACAGTTGCAGAGGTGCATATAGGTAAGGTGTAAATTTGGAAAGATTTATGTCAACTTTAAAAATGTCTTCCCTGGGGATTGGAACTGGTGGACTTATACATTTGTACTGTTAGAATTTTTAAATCAAACATGTATTTTATAATAAATTTATGTGTTTTGTTTTTCTGGATCAATTATGTTGTAGAAGTAATAGGGATTATCAAAGTTGAATCTTTTAAAAATTTGTTTCCCAGATAGCAGACCCTACATTAGCCAAAATGGGGAAAAACTTGAAGGAGGCTATGAAGATGCTAGAGGACAGTCAGAGGTGAGCCTGTGGAACAGAAGTGACCCTGTTAAACACGTTCAACCTGTTATGAAACTGGTGGCACTGGTTGCCTGCTGTTATAAACGCCTCTGGGTTTCAGAATGTCACGCTTAGCTTCTGCTGACTTTAAAGTTGGTATTTGTCTTAGAAGATGCTTTGTAATGAAAGGATTTTGAAATTGGGGGCAGTACTTAAAATTTTCAGTTCTGCCTATTAAGAGTTTTATTTACTTAATATTAATTTGAATCTATAAATATTTCTTACTGTATATTAAGTTCATATAGGGTATCAATTAATCAAAAAATTGGTTGAGGTATTATTTTTTCATATTCTTTTCCTGAAACTCAAATCATACCCCAAATTGGGGCATGGGGCAAGGTTGGGCCAGGGCGGGGTAGATGTGTTAAATGTGTTTTTTACATCAGTTACTAAAAGATTATAGGTGATATCCCATGTTTGAATGCACAAATGTTAAAAATCTGATATGATAAAGTGAAGAGTTTTTTATTTCTTTTAAACTAGAAGAACAGAGGAGGAAAATGGAAAGAAGCTCCTATCAGGGGATATTCCAGGGCCACTCCAAGGCAGGTAGGTGGAAATGAAGATAAGACCTTTAGTTTGGGTGTACATTTTCTTTGAACCAATATTTTACAATCATTGACTTACAATTTTAGTTTTCAGTGAGCAAAAAACAAATTTAGAGTTATGAGCAATGTAACAGTAGAAAATTGAAATGCCATTGGCTGGTTGGTGATAATGTTGAGCCTGCCCGCTTCTTCCCCTTTCCCATTCAGAATTTAATACATCATGAATCAAAAGCACTGCACAAATTTATAATTTTAACTTAAATATCATACTTAGTTTATCTTTGAAACCTGTAATCTATATGGTAGGCCGAGTTTTATTGTGGGAAATGTTTTAATTTGATAAGATTTATTATTTCCCAATACAGGAAAATGTCAACTTTAACCATTTATTGGCAGAGAAATCAATATTTCAGCAGTGAAAGCAAACTTGTTAAATGTTTATGGTTTGAGCTAGCAGGGAAAATATCAGAAAAATAAGTAGCTATCTGACTAAAATTTTCACAAGATGTTAGCACCCGATTTATAATTAAAATTTTAGCCCAGCTTCCTTCAGACAAGCTTTTGTTTTGTTTTATAACCAGGAAATTGCACATAGGTAAACATTACAACTCCCTTAAATTGTCCTTTGACCTGAATATAAATATGTACAAAGTTGCAAAAGAAAAGTGTGGAGGAAGGATCACAATGTGCCAATAAATGTCACATCTAACACACCCAGATACCAATATTTTAAAATAGGCACTCCTACTTGAAGCTTGAGTGGTGCTGATTTGAAGCCCTCTCGATGTACAATGTGTTCTACAAGTCAGAACAGGAACCAAGTCCTATACATCTCAAGGAATTAAATTTTCTGGAGAGAATTAAAGAGTTCCAATGATCCCACAGAAGTTTTCCTAGAAGAGAACCACCAAGATCATCTGTAATTCTCAAAATGAGAGGGCATTAACGCTACTGCTCGGAAGTATAGCCAACATCTGAGATAGCACTATGCCAGTCATAGTGTTAAATGCTTTACATACACTGTCTGATTGCATCCTCACAATTTCTTAATGTATGGACTTAGAGAGTTTCAGTAATTTGCTCAAGGTCCTGTGGCTAGGCACATGATCTAATCACTACACAGTGTCCCAGGATCAGAGCTCCTCTGGTATGAAAGTCAGCACCTTGGGAAGGATGGATATTGGGTCATTGTTTGACAGTGCTTCTTTTTCAAAAGAGAACTTTTTATTAGAATGGAGCGATATTTTCACATTATATGTGTTCAATTTGACGTTGCTTACTACTCTATTCATTTACATGTTTCCCAGAAGTTTTTACTACCTCACGTGATGAGCACTGAATAATATATCTTAGATAGAAGTAGATCTTTATACTCTAAGCAGATCTCAGTTTCCCAGCTTTAGGAAGAGGTGGTAATAAATGATGCTTGCATTATATGGTTAAATCTGCTTAAACAAACAGACAATATGCCTACGTGGAGGGAAACTAGATATACCAGTGGCATTTACTGCTTCTGTGACAATCAACTTCTTAATAAGGACAGTTTTGACTCCTGAGACATGCTTATTCTCCAGGATTCAAATGAACAAGAAGAGAAATATTGTTTAAGTAATATTGGTGAAATTTAAAATTTTTCAATCTCAGATTTAAGTAGAAGATTTAATTGATCACAAGTAAGAATATGTTCAAAATTCCAAATAATAACTTGAGGTTTGTATCTCAGACATTCTTGCTCAATTAAAAAAACTTATCAAAGCTAATTTGGATGAGAGAAATAGATAGTGGTGGGGAATGTATGCTGTTTCCACCTGTCCATAAATTATTTTTTCTGCAGTGGACAAGATATGGTGAGCATTCTCCAGTTAGTTCAGAATCTGATGCATGGAGATGAAGATGAGGAACCCCAGAGTGCCCGGTAATGGAGAATGGTTGGCAACTTCTCTTTGACAGTATTATGTGTTCTTGATTTTGAAAGTGATTGCATTCTTACAAGTTGCTGAAATAATAAGCTGTTTCATTCAGAGTTACATATGATATTAAGAGGATGTTCTTTGTTTTTTTTCAGTGAGTCATTTATATATTTTGTAAAAAGAAGGCATTTACTAAAGCTAAATCCTATAGTTTTCATGGTATCATGTCTTTTCGAGGAGCTGGCAAAAGGACCAAAGAACAATTGCTGTTCACTTTTCTGCTTCTGCACATGTGCTTCTGCTTGCTAAGAATTGCTGCAGCTGATTTAATTGGTGGCCAGCCACGTTGTCTGTGAATCCATTTGCTTTATTTATTTTTATTTTTTTCTTTATTGATTTTAGAGAGAGGAAAGGAGAGGGAGAGAGAGAGAGACAAATATCGATGAGAGAGAGCATCAATTGGCCACTTCCTGCATGCTCCGCTGCTGGGGATTTGGCCCACAACCTGGGCATGTGCCCTGACTGGGAATTGAACCAGCGACCTCTTGGTGCGTGGGTCACACTCAGCCACTGAGCCACACCGGCCAGGTGCTTTATTTTTATTTTCATCTATTTAACTATTTATTCAGTTCATTTTCTTTCTGATTATTTTAAATTTAATTTTTTGGAATAAGTAATACATTCTTCTGGTTCAAATTTCAAGGATAAAAAGAGTATACAAAGGCAGTTTTTCTTATCTCTGTATCTTGTTCTCCTCCTTAGAGATAGACAGTGTTGTATTTCTCAGAGATATTTTATGTATATGTATGTACTAGCAAATATCTTTATTTGCCCCCCTCAGTACATAAATACTATGCACATTTTTCTGTACCTAGCTTTTTTTGTTTATGTCTTGGAGTTCATTGTATATCAGTACACAAGGCACAAGGAGTTTTTTCCTTTAAGAGCTGTTTGGTTGGCCCAGCTGGTGTGGCTCAGTGGATTGAGTGTCCCCCCCCATAGACTAAAAGGTCCCGGTTCGATTCTGGGTCATGGTACATGCCCTGGTTGTGGGCTTGATCCCCAGTAGGGGTCCTGCAGGAGGCAGCCAATTGGTGTTTCTTTCTCACATCGATGTTGCTTTCTCTCTCTCCCTTCCTCTCTTTCTAAAAAAAAAAAAATTCAATAAAATATTTTTTTTTAAAAAAGAGCTGTTTTGTTGTACTTTGAATGGATGAACCACATTCTATTTAACTGGTCTCTTTTTTGTTTTACTGTTACAGACATTGCTGTAGCCAGTAACTTTGTACATGTGTCATTTCTTAGAGAAGCAAATGTTTCTGGAGATTAAAGTTCTAAAGTGGGAGAGCTGGGCCAGATACTTTGTGTATTTATAATTTTGATAGATACTGCCAAATTTCCCTCCATGTAACCTGTGCCAGTTCACGGTCCCACCAGCAATGTGTGAGAATACCTCTTTCCCCACACTTTTGCCTGCAAGAGTGTTAGTAGACTTAAGGGTTGTTGCCAGTCTGATAGGTAAGAAATAATATTTCAGCATAATTTTAATTTGTATTTCTCTTATGAACCAGGTTAAGTGTCTTTTTGCATGTTTTAAAACCCATTTATATTTCTTTTTCTATGAACTGTTTCCTTTGCCCAGTATCTTGTTTTATTTTTTGCTTTCTTTTTTTTTTTAATCCTCACCCAGGGATGTTTTTTCCATTGATTTTTGAGAGAGAGTTGAAGGGGGGGAGGGGAAAAGAGAGAGAGAAATGTCAATGTGAGAGCTACACCTCGATTGGTTGCCTCCTGCTTGCACCCTGACATGGGCTGGGGATTAAACCTGCAACGCAGGTATGTGCCCTTGACCAGGAATCGAACCTGCCACCCTTTGGTGCAAGGGCTGACCCTCTGACCACTTAGCATACCAGCCAGGGCTTTTGCCTTTTTTTAAAAAATTGACTTCCAGTTATTTTTTATAAGGGAAGTTAGTCCATCTTTTTAAATTATATATAAAGGAATACCTCATTCCCTTTGAATTTGCTATCTTACTGTTATAAATGCAGAGAATTGATCTTCATCTCATGATTCTTTAAAAAATTGTTTTCTGGTCCTGTCTGGTGTGGCTCAGTGGGTAGAACATTGGCCTGCAGGCTGAAGGGTTGCGGGTTTGATTCCCAGTCAAGGGCATGTATGTACCTGGGTTACAGGTTTGATCCCCTGCCTGGGCCAGGGTCGTGTGTGAGGCAACCAATCAATGTGTCTCTCTCACATCAATGCCTTTCTTTCTCCTTCCCTCTCTCCCTTCCACTCTATCCAAAAATCAGTGGAAAAATATCATTGGGTGAGGATTAACAACAACAAAAATAAAAATGAAAGAAAATAAAAAGAAATAAAATAAAACAAGACAGCACAGTAGTATGTAAATTTTTATTTATTTTTTAAATATATTTTTATTGATTTTTTTTTTTCTTTTTAGAGTGAGAGGAAAGGTAAGATATAGAAGCATCAATGTGAGAGAGATACATCGATCAACCACTTCTTCCACGCCTCCCCACTAGGGATTGAGCCCACAACCTGGGCATGTGCCCTGACCAGAAATCGAACCAGGACCTCTCAGTTCGTGGGACGAAGCTCAATCCACTGAGCCACATTGGCCAGTAAAAATTTATTTTAAAAATTGTTTTCTGCACATTTTAGCTCTATCCTCCATAGTTCTTATGGCTGGTATTTCGTTTTTTAAAAATTTTAGAAAATTATTCACAGTTTGTATATTTAGTAGATATTCAATAAAAAGGATATTTATCTTCTAGGAATTAATTTTTAAAAATATTTTTCTTCCTCAGACTATCAATATCTTAAAGGCATTGAATTTTCTAAATGTATCTGAATTTGTGCCTTCTAAGCCATTAAGTGGATTTTCCATCTGACAGAAATTTCTGTAGGCCCGGGCTGAGTGGCTCAGTTAGTTGGAGTGTCATCCTGTACACCAAAAGGTTGCAGATTTGATTCTCAGTCATGGCACATACCTAGGTTTCGAGTTTAATCTGGGAGGTAATCTATTGATGTTTCTCTCTCTCCCCCTCTCATCTTGCACTCTCTCCCTCTCTCCTCGCACTCTCCCCCTCCTTCCCTTCCTCTCTAAAAATCAATTAAAATATATATATATGTCCTCGGGTGATGATTTAAAAAAGAAAGAAAAGAAATTTCTGTGGAATACTGTTTGTCAAAGTTTTGTTTCTTTGTTTTTACTAATCCTTTTTGTAATCAAATGAATTTTGATTAACAGAATCCAGAATATTGGAGAACAAGGTCATATAGCTTTGTTGGGACATAGTCTGGGAGCTTACATTTCAACTCTGAACAAAGAGAAGCTGAGAAAACTTACAACTAGGATACTTTCAGACACTACCTTATGGCTGTGCAGAATTTTCAGGTAAAGACATTATGAGTCTTTAGTTTCTAATAAAGTTATTTATAAGTTTGGTATAGACTGTGACAGATCTTTCCTGGAGCTGTACTACCTGGGTTCAAATCTGACTCTTTCTCTTTCTCCTAGAAGGATTGCTTAACCTTTTTATGCCTCAGTTTTCTCATATGCTAAATGGGGATAACATTAATATCTGTTTCATGGCATTGTATTAAGTGAGCTAATGAATTAATACATGTAACGAGATGAGCACATGCATGTTAGATAATGTCAGCAGTTCCTTATTTTTATTATTTATTTATTTTTATTTTTAGAAATGCTAATTGGCATATATCAGTAGAAGGTACAGCAGTGAAACAGATTAAAATATTTTTAATCAAAGTAAGAGCTTGTGCTTTAGTAGAAAGGAAATGTTGTCATAAGGAGGATGAGTATGTATTTTGAAATTGAAATTTAGCCCTGGCCAGTTTGGCTCAGCGGTTGGAGCGTTGGCTTGCGGTCCAGAGAAACCCAGGTTCGGTTCCCACTAAGGGCGCGTATCTCGGTTGCAGTTTGTCCCCGGCCCTGGTTGGTCATGCGGGTGGCAACCACTTGATGTGTCCCTTTCACGTCAATATTTCTCTCTCTCTTTCTCTCTTCCTCTTTCTCCCTCCCACTCTGTCTGAACGAAAAATGGAAAACTGTCCTCGGGTGAGGATAATAAAAAAAAAAAAGAAGAAATTTATTTTATACTGTGATGATGATGACATTATTAAGGTGTTATAGCAGATTAAGGATTCAGTAGAAGACATAGGATTCGTAGTATTTTTGTGTTATTACTTTTATGGAAAAGGAATGTTTGCCTACCATTGGAACATTTAACTTGGGAGACTCAACTTTCAGATGTTGGGAAAGAGATTGGCAAGAGTATAAGTTTGCCTAACTACATTGCAAAGGAGAAATTTTCTTCTATTCTAATAAACATCTGTAATTGAAATTCTCTCTTCCATCTTCTCTTAGATATTAAGAAGAATAAAAGGTCCCAAGCAGATCATAGTGAAAGCAAAAGTTAGCCTGACTAATGTTTTTTACTATTTTATTTACTTCAGATGTTTTAGAGCTAAAACTCTGCCCTGGCCGGTTTTGCTCAGTGGTTAGAGTGTCATCCCACAGACCAATGAGCCGTGGGTTCGATTCCGGTCAAGGACACATACCTCAGTTTCGATTTGTCCCGGCCTTGGTTGGGGTTGTGCAGGAGGCAGCCACTCGATGTTTCTCTCTCTCTCTGTCTGTCTCTCTCTCTCCCTCCCACTCTTTAAACAAAAATGGAAAAATGTCCTCTGGTGAGGATAAAAAATAATAATAAAATTCTGCCAGGAACCATGCCTGCATTAATCCAGTGCTAGCCTTTTTGTAGAATAAGCCAAAACCATGATGTTCAGTGTCTTTATATTTGAGGGACTCCTGTTCTCTACTGATTTTCATAGTTTCTGCTTTTTATGGAGTTGGGGATGGACGAAGGGGTCATTGCTTCTGTTCCTTATAACCAAACTCCTGCTATAAGGAGTTGTCAGCCATCTAAGATGAGGGTGATTCCTATCTCCTTTGACTGATCTAGGTGACAGTTTCTAGGTAGAGAAAAAAAATTACTTTCTTGATTACAAAATTGGGATATAAAATCAGGGTTAACCAGAGATAAGAACATGTTAATATATGAATGTCTCTTAACAGGTATGAAAATGGCTGTGCTTATTTCCATGAAGAAGAAAGAGAAGGACTTGCAAAGATCTGTAGGCTTGCCATTCATTCTCGTTATGAAGACTTTGTGGTGGATGGATTCAATGTGTTATATAACAAGAAACCTGTTATATATCTTAGTGCTGCTGCTAGGCCTGGCCTGGGCCAGTACCTTTGTAATCAGGTAATGTGTACAATGGACATTTTATAAATTACATGTTTTGTTCTGTCTTGAAACTTTTTAAAGTGTGTAGACCCATTTCTTTAGCTGCCTTTTCAAATGAAATGAAAAATGGGTTTTTTATATGCTTGTTTTGTCATAAAGAACCATATAAATGTTTATTAATGAATTTAGGTAATTTTTTAATTGTCCAAAGGCAATCACAGTCAACACTTTACTTTATTTCTTTCCATGCTTTACTCAAAGACTGCGTGTGTGTTTTTACATGATTATATCTGGCTTTTTTCACTTAACAGGTGCACATCATGTTTTAACAATTCTTTAAAGTAAAGTTTATTTTTTATTTTTTTAATTTTTTTTATTCTCACCTGAGGACATTTTTGCATTTATCTGCAAATAGAGCAGGAGGGAGAGAGGGAGGAAGAGAGAGAGACACACATGGACTGGCTGCCACCCACACAACCCCAGCAGGGGCCGGGGACAAACTGCAACCAGGGTACATGCCCTTAGTGGGAACCGAACCCGGGCCTCTCTGGTCCGTGGGCCGACGCTCTAACCGCTGAGCCAAACTGGCCAGGGCGTAAAGTTTATTTTTAATATCTTCATAATATCCCTTCAAGTGAGTGTATAGTAGTATTTAACTAACTGTTTCCCTTTTGGACAATTAGAATGTTTACATTCTTTTACTTTCTAAGACCATCTCTGTGACCAGTGTTAGTGTTCTTTGTATAGTGCTGTTATGGACATCTTTGTGTATAAAGCTTTTTCTATGTTTAGGGTTATATTTCTCAGATTTCCGGAGTCTATCTAGAATTATTAGATCAAAGAGCATTACCATTTTTATTTAAAAAAACTTTTTTTTCTTTATTGATTTTAGAGAGAGGAAGAGAGCGAGAGATAGAAACATCGATGAGAGAGAACATCGATTGGCTGCCTCCTGCATGCCCCCTACTGGGGTTTGGGCCCACAACCTGGATACATGCCCTGACGAGCATTACCATTTTTAAAGTTCATAGTACATGGAGCCCAATTAGGGGGCTACCTTGAGACAAGAAATTAAGTCTCTTGACCAAAAATGTTTCAAGGCATAACCCTTAGGATTGGAGGGTTTGTCTTTTTTAAGGTGAAGGAGCCCTGGGGAGTTAGGTGGAGGAAATTCAGGGACTTAAGCTGATTCTGAGCTGTGGTCACTAGTGGCAAGAAATTATGTCCTCTCCTTGAGGGTGTAATAAATGGGGAGTTTTGTAATATTCCTATAGAAACATGGAACAAATTACTTACTTATTGAGTACCTTCTGCAGGCCCAGCTTTTATGAACTTGAGGCTGTCTGGGGACAGCAGTGCTATCTTCAAAAGATATATGACAGTATTCTGTTAAGTGAGAAAGGCAGATGGCAGAACAGTATATATATGTTCATGTTTTAAAAAGTGTTTATTTTGCCCTGGCCGGTTTGGCTCAGCGGTTAGAGCGTTGGCCTGCGGTCCGGAGAGACCCGGGTTCGGTTCCCGCTAAGAGCACGTACTTCGGTTGCAGTTTGTCCCCGACCCTGGTTGGTCGTGCGGTGGCAGCCACTCGATGTGTCCCTTTCACATCGATGTTTTTCTCTCTCTCTCCCTTCCTCTCTCTCCCTCCCACTCTATCTGTACAAAAAATGGAAAAATGTCCTCGGGTGAGTATAAAAAATAAAAAATTAAAAAAAATTAAAAATTAAAAAAAAAAGTGTTTATTTTACATGCTTATATGAGTATTTTTATACCTAGAAAAATATATAAGTATATTTATACCTAGAAAATGTCTGGAAGGTTACATTCTAAGCCTGTTAAAAATGGTGTATTGGTGGCTTATGTGAGGACATTTTCACTTTTAATTTCTATATATATTGTGTGTTTTATTTGGGTTTCAGTGTCATAATTTGAAAGATAAATCCTTTAAGGCAGAAAGAGTATGAATTAAGTGCTTGTTAAATTTTTGGTTTTTAAATTCTATCAAGTCTCACCCTGGCCAGTTTGGTTCAGTGGTTAGTGTCGGCCTGCGAACCAAAGAGTCCCGGGTTCGGTTCCCGCTAAGGCAGTGGTTCTCAACCTTCCTAATGCTGCAACCCTTTAATATAGTTTCTCATGTTGTGGTGACCCCCAACTATAAAATTATTTTCATTGCTACATCATAACTAATTTTGCTACTGTTATGAATTGCCATCGGAAATATGGGTTTTCCAATGGTCTTAGGCGACCCCTGTGAAAGAGTTGTTCAATCCCCATAGGGGTTGCAACCCACAGGTTGAAAACTGCTGCACTAAGGGCAGGTTCCTCGGTTGCAGTTTGTCCCCAGCCCCAGTTGGGGTCATGCGGGTGATAGTCAGTTGGTGTGTCTCTCTCACATCGATGTTTTTCTCTCCCTCTCCCCCCCCCCCCCCCACTCTGTCTGAAGATAAATATAAAAATACCTTTGGGTGGGGGTTATTAATTAATTAATTAATTAATTTTACCAAGTCTCAGTTATAAAAAACAATAGGCTGCAACTGTTTAAATTTTTCCAAAGCTATGAACTCCTCAAGGATTTGGAATCTTAAAGTGAAGAATATAAAATCTGACAATTGCTATCTTCATAACACTGACTTCATTTCTCTTAAGAAATGTACATCTGCTAGTCCACATTTATTGATTTTTAGAAATAGATGGACCCATAAATAAATAAAGGCATTCACCTTTAGCTGGTGTTACTGATGTTTGGAGGAAGGACCCTAAGTTGTCCCCCCAAATGCTTGGGGCTCGATTGCAGTTTGGAAAGTGTTTTGTTTTTTGGTATATAGAATATACCAAAGATAGTTCCTCATGTAAAAATGTTACTTTGTCTCTGCCCTCTTATAAGACATATCAGCTCCTGGAAATTCACTGTTCATTAAGCTTAACTTTTTAGATGTACTTTAACATCTAATTATAATAAGAGTCCCTAAGGCAGCAGTTCTTAACCTGTGGGTCGCGACCCCTTTGGGGATCGAACGACCCTTTCACAGGGGTCGCCTAAGACATAACAGTAGCAAAATTCCAGTTATGAAGTAGCAACAAAAATAATTTTTTGGTTGGGGGGGTCACCATAACATGAGGAACTGTACTAAATGGTCACAGCATTAGGAAGGTTGAGGACCGCTGCCCTAAGGGAAGAGATTGTTTAAAAAGAATAATCATGACTTGTCTTAGAGCCACAATGTTTTGAGGGCATAAGTGAATAATAACAGTTTTCTTGTAAAATTTTGTTTCTTATAGCTCGGTTTGCCCTTCCCCTGCTTGTCTCGTGTGCCCTGTAACACTATGTTTGGATCCCAGCATCAGATGGTGAGATCTCTTTTTGGTTTGTAAAATAATACGGAATTATGTTTTGAAACTGTCTTTCTTTCAAATGAAGTTCTGTTTGCTGGCCTTCAGATTATTATCAGTTTACTCGTTTACTGCTTTGAACTTCCGATTGCATACTGAAGCCAGAAGCAAAAGGGATAGGCTTTGGGTTTCTCAATTTCTTTTTTTTTTTTTCAAGGTAGTTTGATTTTCTGTACATTAACTCAGATGCATTAATGATGAATAATATTAGAGATACATTTTTGGTTTGGTTGAGAGAGCATTTTCTTTAAACATGCATGTTTATCTAGAAAATGTTGGCTCTATATATGCAATTTTTAACTTTAATAGCCGGATTTTTCTTGTTCGTCTTCAAAGAAAACTATTTGATTTTCATATCTATGATTAGAGAAACTAGAAAAATTGTCAAGAATTGATTTGAGTGATTAATTTTGAGAGTCATGTGCTTCTTTTGGAAGTTGTAATTTTTCATCATATAACGTTTATGCTGGTTGCTTTATGTTGTTATGGTTTGTCTTTTAATACCAGGATGTTGCCCTCCTAGAAAAACTGATTAAAGATGATATAGAACGAGGAAAACTGCCTCTATTGCTTGTTGCAAATGCTGGTAGGTATCATGAACCTGAATCTTACATTTTGGACATATAAGAGGGAGGCTGACTAAGTACTTAGTCTAAAAAAGACCAAGTCTTGCCCTGGCCGGTTTGGCTCAGTGGTTAAAGTGTGAACCAACAGGTGTTGGGTTCAATTCCTGGTCAAAGGCATGTACCTGGGTTGCGAGTTCAGTCCCCGGCCCTAGTTGGGGTCATGTGGGAGGCAATCAATTGATGTGTCTCTCTCACATCAGTGTTTCCCTTTCTCTCTCTCATCCTCCCTTCCCTTCCCTTTTCTTCTCTTCCCTTCTCTCTCCCTCCCTCCCTTCCACTCTTTAAAAATCAATGGAAAAATATCCTTAGGTGAAAATTAACAAAAAAATTAAAAAGACTGAGTCCCTTTTTTTTAAAATATGTTTTTATTGATTTTTTTAGAGAGAGATAGAAACATCAGTAAGAGAGAACCATCAGTTGGCTGCCTCCTGCACACCCCACACTGGGGATCAAGCTTGAAACCCAGGCATGTGCCCTGACTAGAAATCTAAGCAGGAACTCTCAACCCGTGGGAGAACACTCAATCCCCTAAGCCACACCAGCCATGCAAAAGACCGAGACTTAATGTTTATGTGCCATGCGTTTAAGATTGTCTGGGCATTGTGGTAAGAATTATAATAGTAAAGTTGGCTCATTTGATTCCTTTTTTTTTATCCTCACCCGAGGAAATTTTTCCATTTTTTGTACAGATAGAGTGGGAGGGAGAGAGAGAGAGAAACATCGACGTGAAGGGACACATCGAGTGGCTGCCACCCGCATGACCAACCAGGGCCGGGGACAAACTGCATCCGAAGTACGTGCCCTTAGCAGGAACCGAACCTGGGTCTCTCCGGACTGCAGGCTGATGCTCTAACCGCTGAGCTAAACTGGCCAGGGCATCATTTGATTCCTTTTAATTGTTGGTTTGTTTTGTGAGTTATTTTGTTTGTGTGTGTGTACTTTTTCATTTACGTTGTAAGTGCTGCTTTATTCTTTCATGTGCTTCCTTTTTAAATTGAATTTTAAAATGTCATACATAAATGTGTACCTTGTAGACATTAGTTGCTCTGCTTACCACATTGCGTTTAACATTGTACTTAAAGTTCTAGATAGTGCAGTAGGCAAGGAAAATAATTAAATACATACAGATTGAAAAGAAGAACAAACTGTATTTGCAATGTCATAATTGTATAGATGGAAAGTCATAAGGAAATCAAAGGCCATTGGAACTAATAAGTGAATCTATTAAGACTGCAGAATTTCTATATACTAACAATGAACAATTGAAATTGACTTTAAAATGTCATTCATAATAGCATCAAAAAATGAAAACTTCATGGATAAATTTAAGAAATATATGCAAGATGTGTACACTGAAAGCTACGAAATGTTGCTCAGAGAAATTCAAGAAGGCCCAAATAAATGGAATGATGTGTCATGTGAATAATTGGAAGGCTCAATATTATTATATCAAATCTCCCCAAATTAATCTGTAGATTCAACTTAATCCATATCAAAATCTTAGCACATTTTGTAGAAATTGATCTTATTGAAACTGATAACCTGATTCTAAAATTTATATGAAAATGCAAAGGATCGAAGAATAGCCAAAATACTTTTTAAAAGAACAGAATTGGAAGACTTAACCTATCTGACTTTTAGAGTTACCATCAAGCTGCAAATAATCAGGAGAGTATGAGAGTAACTGGAGAGAATAGAGAGTTCAGAAATAGATTCACATGTATATATGATCACTTGATTTGGTGGGGGTGGGGGTTGTTTACAAAGATGCCAAGATAATTCAAGACCACCAGTGGTCTTGGAATAATTGAATATTCACGTGGAAAAAAAATTGAACCTTAACCCTTACCTCACTCTGTATTAAAAATTAATTATAAGTGGTTCATAGACCTAAACATATGAGCCATAACACTAAAACTTCTTGAAGAAAATACAGATTTTTTTCTTTTTCTTTTTTAAATCTTTATTGTTCAATGTATTACAGATGTTCCTCATTTTTCCCCCATTGACCCCTTCCTCCCCACTCCTGCCCCCCTCCCACCTTTTCCCACACTGTTGTCTGTGTCCATTGGTTATGCATATAAGTTCTTTGATTTAGAAAATACAGATCTTTGTGATCTTGGGTTAGGCAAAGATTTCTTAGGACACAAAAAGCATGAATCATAAATTGACCTTTATCACAAATTAAAAGCTTTTGCTGTTTAAGAGACCCTATTAAGAAAATAAAAAAGCAAGTTACAGATGGGGAAAATATTTATAAAATAAACATGCATAAAGAAGTTTTACCATTTAATATTAAGGAGACAAATAATAGGTTTTTAAGTGAACGAGATTTGAATAGACAACTTCACCAAAGAAAATACATGAATGTTTCAACATTCATATATATATTAATGCTTAGCATCATTAATCATTAGCGAAATTACAAATTAAAACCACAGTGAGCTACTATTACATATCTGCTAGAATGAGGGAAAAATACAATACCAAACACTGATGAGAATACAGAGCAACTACAACTCTCATACACAGCTGGTAGAGAGCTTATAATTTATAGCTACTCTAGAAAACAGTTTGGCAGTTCTTCAAAAGGTCAAACATAGAATTAACGTATGACCAATTAGTCCCACTTGTAGGTATTTATCAAAGAGAAAAAAAAACACATATGTCCATACAAAGAATTGTATGCAATACTCATAACTGGAAACAACACAGATGTCCTTTACCTTGTGAATGGATAAGCAAGTTGTGGTGTGTATATCTTGTGGGCTGCTAAGCAATTAATAGAAAAAGTTACTGATAATACATATCAACAGGGGTGAATTTCAAAAGCATGCTAACTGCAAAAAGTGAGACAGAAGAAGTTACATAGCATATAATTGATAGGAAATTCTAAAAAAGGACAAAAGTACAGTGACAGAAAACAGATCAGGACTGTATGTAACCAGTGGGGAGCACAGAAAAGAGGGAAACTTTTAGGGTGATGGAAATATTCTCTACCTTGATTGTGTTGTTGGTGGTTAGACATTGGATACATTTGGCAAAACTCATCGAATCGTACACTTACGTGAGTGGATTTTGCACTAGCTGGTTTGGCTTAGCAGTTAGAGCATCCACCTGAGGACTGAAGGGTCTTAGGTTCAATTCCTGGTCAAGGGCACATACCTGGGTTGCAGGTTTGAACCCCCATCCAGTTGAAGTCATACAGAAGGCAACCAATCAATGTGTCTCTCTCACATTGACGTTTCTCCCTCCACCGCCTCTCCCTTTCCACTCTCTCTAAAAAATTAATGGAAAAATATCCTCGGATGAGGATTAACAAAACAAAACAAAAACAAAGTGGATTTTATTGCGTGTAAATTATCTTCAGTCAATAAAGCTAATTACAGTTGCCCCTTGGCCACAGGGGATTGGTTCCAGGACATCCCTCTCCCCTTAGATACCAAAATCCTCAGATGCTCAAGTCTCTATGTAAATAGTATAGTATTTTCATATAACCTGTATTTACATATAGGCTAAAGCAGGATATGCCTCTGTATCACTTCATTTGTGTGGATTCAGCATAGTGCTCAGTACGTGGTAGATTCAGATTTACCTTTTGGAACTTTCTGGGATTTTTATTCCCCAAATATTTTATTTATTTATTTTCCTCACCAGAGGACATTCTTGCATTTATCTTCAGATAGAGCAGGAGAGAAGGGGGAAGAGAGGGAGAGAAATATCTATGTGAGAGAGGCACATCGAGTGGTTGCCACCCACACGACCCCAAGCCGGGTAGGGACAAACTGCAACCGAGGTACGTGCCCTTAGCGGGAACTGAACCTGGGACTCTCTGGTCTGCGGGCCGACGCTCTAACCGCTGAGCCAAACTGGCCAGGGATGTTAATTTATTTTTTAAATCCTTACCCAAGGATGTTATTCCATTTATCTTCAGATAGAGTGGGAGAGACCGAGGGAGGGAGAGAAAGAAAGAGAAACACCGATGTGAGAGACACAATGACTGGTTGCTTCGTGCATGATCCCAACCAGGTCCGGGGACCTAACCACAACTGAGGTACGTGCCCTTGACCAGAATCGAACCCGTGCCTCTTTGGTCCTTGGGCCAACACTCTAACCACTGAGCCAAACCGGCCAGGGCTTTTCGAATATTTTAAATTCACAGTTGGTTGAATCTGCGGTTGTGTATAGAGAGGGCCAACTGTATATTATTTTATTTTTATGTATTATTTTTTTTAGAGAGGGGAAGGGGACAGAGATAGAAACATCAATGTGAGAGAGAAACATCATCAATCAGCTGCTTCCTGCATGATCCCCCTGCTGGGGATCGAGTCCACAACCCAAGCATGTGCCCTGACCGGGAATCGAACTGGGACCTCTCAGTCCACGGAATGATGCTCAATCCACTGAGCCACACCAACTGGGCTGTATTTTAAAAATAATAATGAACAGCCCGGCCAGTGTGGCTCACTAGTTGAGCGTCGACCCGTGCACCAAAAGGTGGCTGGTTCGGTTCCCAGTCAGGGCACATGCCCAGGTTGTAGGCCCAGTCCCCAGTGGGAGGCATGCAGGAGGCGGACAGTTAATATTCTCTCTCATCGATGTTTCTATCTCTCTCTCCATCTCTCTTCCTCTCTCTCTAAAATCAATAAAGAAAAAATATAAAAATAAACAAAAATAATAAGCAGAAAAACACACATTCACCTTATTGTTAGACCACCACTTCCTGCTTGATTTAGCATTATTACATGTTTAAAAAGAAACAAACCCACTTATATTCGATTATTTGATAGATAGGAGAGGCTACAATTTACACGTGTCTGAGTGATTTACCAGTATGACTACACTGCTGTCGCCAGAGTACACATCACGGGGGTTAGCCAGCAGACATTACCAAAAAATTGAAAAGAGAATCTGAATGTGATCAAGTCACTAAACAGCACTGTGCTTTATGTTTTCATGGGTCATTTGACAGTTCATGCATTGGCCATTGATCTTGTTTCAACTAAACAAATGTGTCAGTTAAGGTTTTTTAAAATTTTGAGACAGGCTTGTATGTGGGGAAAATAGTTTCCAGCCCTTTCCCAGCATAAACCTGAATAAGAACTGTTCGCATCAGTCGTTTGTTGAGGCAGTTGGTGAGGGTTTGAAATCTTATTAGGTGGGACTCTGCCTACTGGAAATTTAGGGTATTTGAGAGAATACATGATTCCATGTTTTATTTATGCTCTGAGAAGAGGGGTCTGCCCAGCAAAAGCTGTAGTGTAAACAAATTACCAAGGGGATGGGTTAAAGTGTTTAATATATTCAAACTGACTTCAGAATACAGAGAACTTCCAAATTGGGTTAAAAACATCTCAAATTCATCTGTGTATTATTTTGTTTTTTTAATAAAAAAGGCACACCTAAGTAAAAATAACCCAGAAAGTGACCAGAAGTTAGAGTAGAAAAGGCTATCTTGGGCAAATGCTAACAGAACAAAAGTCCTTAAGCAGTGTTCATGAGATAAAATAGACTTTATCTTCATTATAATTCATATGCTCTAAGAGATAACAGTTATGAATGCTTGTGAACATAACTGAAATGTAAAAGAAAACTAAAGGGAAAATTGATAGAATACAAGTATAAATTGATAAATCCACAATCTTGGTGGAAGACTTGAATATATTGCTCATAAAAGAAACCAAGTAGATAGAAAATAAGTTTATAGCGGATTAAATAACACAAACTTTTTCATAAATACATATAATGAAGAATACACACTCTTCAAAACTTGAATTATCAATTTGCAAAAGTTGATTTTAAGCCAGTCCACAAAGAAAATACTAATAAAACAGAGGCATAATGTTACTTCCATCACAGGGTCATAATGAATGTTAAAAGCTTTGATCGCCCTGGCTGGTTTTGCTCAGCGGTTAGAGCATCGGCCTGCGGACCAGAGAGTCCCGGGTTTGGTTCCTGCTAAGGGCACATACCTCGGTTGCAGATTGTCCCCGGCCTTGGTTGGGGTCATGTGAGTAGCAGCCATTCGATGTGTCTCTCTCACATTGATGTTTTTCTCTCTCTTCCCACCTCTCTCCCTCCTGTTCTATCTGATGATAAATGCAAAAATGTCCTCGGGTAAGGATTAAAAAAAGCTTTGATCATGCTTTAAAGACTCAAGATAATCTGTTCCTTTTAGTATCTTTTTTTGTGTGTTTTATTCTAGGAACTGCAGCAGTAGGACACACAGATAAAATAGGGCGTTTGAAAGAACTCTGTGAGCAGTATGGCATATGGCTTCATGTGGAGGGGTAAGTAGAGGGTCCGGTTGTCTCCATGGGTGGTCTGCACACAGTACTCATGAGGAGTGAACATCTAGGCTCTCAATTTGTCATGACATTTATCACTAAGGGCTCTTTGGGTTGTAGATAACAAGATAACACAAATTGGCTTAAGTGAGAAGAGAGTTTATTGGTTCACATAACTAAAATAAAAAAAAACAGTGTTAGGCCCTGGCCAGTTTGGCTCAGCGGTTAGAGCGTCGGCCTGCGGTCCGGAGAGACCCGGGTTCGGTTCCCGTTAAGGGCACGTACTTCGGTTGCAGTTTGTCCCCGTCCCTGGTTGGTCGTGCGGGTGGCAGCCACTCGATATGTCCCTTCATGTAGATGTTTCTCTCTCTCTCTCCCTTCCTCTCTCTCCCTCGCACTCTATCTGTACAAAAAATGGAAAAATATCCTCAGGAGAGGATAAAAAACAAAAAACAACAACAACAAAAAAACAGTGTTAGGATTGGTGTTAGGCACAATATCAATCAGGACTCGGTGTGTCATCCCCCCCACCACCACCATTAGTCACTTGGTTTAATATCCTTTGTGTGGGCTCCATCTATAGATAGACTTTCCTCTTATGGTTCAAAGTAGCTGCAGCAACTCCAACCTTCTTTCCAAGTTTATGTCCAGTGGGTCAGAAGCCCCAGCAAAAGTCTCATACCAGTCACTGTGGCCAGGGAAATGTAGTTTAAGTTATTTGCCTACCTCTAAAGTAGGTGGTCATGTCTCCTCTACCCAGAGCTGTGGTCTGATAGAGGAGATTGGGGTGGTTTCCCAGAAGGCCATTAGAGGACTGCTAAGAGAAGAGAGGGGAGAGGATGTAGGGCAGCCAGAGTAGTTCATATCCAGCACATCGTGTAGGTAGGTTTCTTGATTGTATCCCTCTGGGAAAGAGGAAAGAGGGATGACTGGAAAATAGTAGCTGTGAAAGATACAAGACCCATTACACTAAATAAGTAGACATCCCTGAAATACATTTTGATTAAAATGCATTTTCTGCCCTGGCCAGTGTGGCTCGGTTGGGCGTCCTCCTGTGCACCAAAAGGTGGCTTATTTGATTCCTGGTCAGGGCAAATACCCAGGTATCGGGTTCAGTCCCCAGTAGGGGGTGTGCAAGAGGCAGCTAATGGATGTGTCTCTCTTTCTCTCTCCCTTCTTCTCTCTAAAATCAATAAAAACATTTTAAATAAGTAAATGCATTTTCAAGGTTTTCTTGAAATTTGTATGTACCACATTTTCTGTTGTAAAAGCTACTCATAAGGCTGAAAGATAGCAGAACCTCCCTCTCTCTCTGTCTGTCTGTCTTTGGAAAATAAATACTTAGTGACTAAGCAGCAGTAAATAATCTGTGTTTTTCCTTCCAGTGTGAATCTGGCAACGTTGGCTCTAGGTTATGTCTCTTCGTCAGTGCTGGTATGTTGTTGATTTACTAAGTATTATATTTTTAAGAAGGAATTTTAAATCCTTTAGTTCTTGGTGGTTTTTCAGTCTTTATGAATGGAAGAGGATGTTGGGTTTCAGGGGTTCTAATAGTCTAACAACTGTTTTCTCTTTGATAGGCTGCAACCAAATGTGATAGCATGACACTAACTCCAGGCCCGTGGCTGGGTTTGCCAGCTGTTCCTGCAGTCACCCTTTATAAACACGACGACCCTGCCTTGGTAAGCTTACTCTCACTGGCGGGGAGTGGGGAGTGGCTCATAGTCATCATTGGGTCTGGGGGAAACACAGAAAAACAAAGGAAAAAGTAAAATATTTTCTTAATGTCACTTCTCTGTGTTTTTATTTTTTTTTAATGTTATTAAGAGAAGTGAAATTGTACCACAAGTATTTTTTCTACTTATTCTTCTCATACTTCCCTGTATATGTGAAGAACATTTTATGGTATTTTATGACTGTATAATATTCTATTACTCCAGTACCACAATTTATTTGTTTTCCATTTTTTAACTTTTAGGATGTTTTCTAGGTTTTGTTACTGAAATAAGTATCTTTTTTTGTTTCAAATTATTTCCTTAGAATAGGTTCCCAGAAGTGGCCTTCCTGTCAGAGTAGTTAAAGCACTTGGTCCACATTGTCTAGAAGGTTGTAACAAAGTGTAGCAATGGTTCTCGATAGTGACCAGTTAGTGATAGGCTCATGCAAAACAAGCTTTAAATGATTCTTGCTACAACAGTTGATATCTTGCCCAGTTGATGATGACCAAGTATTTGAGGACAATTAGAACAACCTTGGAAGGGGCTGCTTCTTTAGTGGCTAAGAGCTCCAGCTCTGGGGTGTGACTCATCTAGATTCTCATCCTGGCTCTGCCACATCTCAGACATGAAACCTTGGGCAAAGCAAAGTCTCTGAATTGAGTTGCCTAGAATACTTACTTCATGGAGTTGTTGGGTGATCAGATGAATAATGCAAGCCCAGTGTCTGGCATAGCATCTGACACTAAGTGCCTAGTAAATGATAACTAGTTAATTCTGCCATGTGATTTCATTGGCTTTGGTTATTAAACTCATAATTGGCTTTTTTAGACTTTAGTTGCCGGTCTCACATCAAATAAGCCAGCAGACAAACTTCGTGCCCTGCCACTGTGGTTGTCTTTACAATACTTGGGACTTGATGGGATTGTGGAGAGGATTAAGCATGCCTGCCAACTGGTGAGTAGAAATCTGAAGTTTAAATGAGTCACAACCACTCCATGGCCAAAGCAGAGTTAGAAACATACTTCATTTTACCTCCATCCAATACCTTGTCTGGATTTTCTGTTCCTTAAGTAAGTGGGCTAATAGCTCTGCATGTATACATTTCTTTTTTTTTTTTTCTTTTATCCTCACCCAAGGACATTTTTCATTTTTTTGTTAAGATAGAGCGGGAGGGGGAGAGAGAGAGAGAAACATCAACGTGAAAGGGACACATTGAGTGGCTGCCACCCGCACGACCCAATCAGGGCCAGGGCCAAACTGCAACCCAGGTACATGCCCTTAGCGGGAACTAAACCCGGGTCTCTCTAACCGCTGAGCCAAACCAGCCAGGGCTGTATACGTTTCTTGTTCAAAGTCCTGGGAGAGACTGCTGGGGGTGTCCCAGCATTTGTGTCCAAATGAAATCTGATTGAAATGAATGCTATTGTCAGTTTGGGATGAGAAAAGACGTCATAAGAGTACAGCTGTGGAGTGACGAAGGATGCAGAAGGGGTCATAAATGTTCCACTTGACTGACTGACCCTTGAGGGTAAAGGAATATGATGGTTAGGGGCTAATTATGGGTAGCATGTATATTTTTAATATCAGTTGGCTTGAGTTCCCTCATTATAAGGCTTTGGGGACAATTTTAATTCTCTTTGTCTTTGAGGTATTCTAATTTTGAAAAACATAATTATGCTATAGTTTATAAATCAAAAAATAGGTCATATTTATGCAGTTTGAGAGCTGAGTCCTACATAAGTCTAAAAGTGTCACGTTACCTCTGTATCTCCATTTTCTTACCTATAAATAGAGATAATAATATAACAAAAGATTGTTATGAGGACTTAATGACTTGATGTGTATAAAGCTCTTATAGTAGTGCCTAATAACATAGTAAGTTATGCAAATATGTTTAAACGTAAATCTTCATTTTATATATATACTTGGGATTGGCACTTCCTCAAGTGTCATTTTTATGTTTTTTAAAAATTGGTATTTTCATATTACTCTGGCAGTAGTCTTCTTGTTCATAATGTCCAGATGGTTTATTCTAATGCTCTCAAGGTCCATCTGTGTTGTTGCAAATGGCAAGATTTCATTCTTCTTTGTGGCTGAGTAATATTCCATTATATTCCACATATATATATATCAAATTTTATGTATTCATTCATCTGTTAATAGACACTTAGTTTGTTTCCATATCTTGGCTATTGTATAAACGTGGGGGTGCATATATCTTTTCTAATTAGTGTTTTGTTTTCTTCATATAAATACCCAGAAGTGGAATTGATGGGTCATATGGCTATTTTTGTTGCTGTTAATCCTCACCTGAGGATATTTTTGCATTGATTTTTAGATAGAGTGGAAGGGAGGGACGGAGGGGGAGAGAGAGAGAAACATTGATGTGAGAGAGACACATTGATTGGTTGCCTCCCGCTTGATATGACCAGGCCTGGGGATCAAACCTGCAACCCATGTACGTGCTTTTGACCAGAATCTAACCTGAGACCCTTCGGTCTGTGGGCCACTGCTCTAACCCCTGAGCAAAACTGACCAGGGCTATTTTTAATTTTTTTTAAGAACCTCCATACTGTTTTTTATAGTGGCTGGACCAATTTACATTCCCACCGACAGTGCACAAACGTTCCCCATTCTCCACATGCTTGCCAACATGCTTGTCTTTTTGATAACAGACATTCTAACAGGTGTGAGGTAATATCTCATTATGGTTTTGATATGCATTTCCCTGATGGTTAAGGATGTTGAACATCTTTTCACCTACCTGTTGGCCATCTTTATGTATTCTTTGGAAAAAGTCTGTATAGGTCTTTTCATTTTTTAAAATCAGACTTTTTATTTTTGCTGTTGAGTTGTATGAATTCTCTATATTTTTTAGACATTACCCCTTATCAGATAAATGATTTGCAGCTACTTTGTCCCATTCATTAGGTTGCCTTTTCATTTTGGTGATGCTTTGCTGTGCAGAAGCCTTTTAGTTTGGTGTAGTTTCATTTGTTTATTTTTGCTTTTGTTGCCTGTACTCAATAGTTTTTGAGTGAATGAATGATTTAAATTACTAAAATGAAAAATTCACTTGTCTCACCAAAAAAGCTCTTCTAGAACCACTAAATATAACTTTAAATGGAAAGAATGAGGAATGTTTGCAAATGTTGAAATGCAAAAATTGACAGCTAAACTTAGAAATCACCAAGATGTTTGCCTGGCCAGTGTGGCTCAGTGGATTGAGTGTCGATCCATGGACTGAGAGACCCTAATTCGATTCCCGATCAGGGCACATGCCCAGGTTGTGGGCTCAGTCCCCAGTAGGGGGTGTGTAGGAGGCAGCCAATCTATGTTTCTCTCACATTGATGTTTCTGTCTCTCTCTCCCTTTCTCTCTCTTTAAAAAGTCAGTCAAAAAAAAAACATAAAATAAATCACCAAGATGCAGATGGCTTTATCTGCCTGAGATCCTTGTTTGCAGACCTGTAAAGACCTCATGAAAATTGCTTCTTAATATGTTGTGTCAATCTAATAAAATTATATAAGCTGGTTGTTTTTATTTGCAGAGTCAACGGTTGCAAGAAAGTTTGAAGAAAGTGAACCACATCAAAATCTTGGTATAGTATATCATTTTGTTTTTGAAGTAAATAACTTTTAACTTTAACAACTTAGAATGATTTTCTTCAGATTTCATGCATTTCAGTGGAATTGTGGCAGCTCCAGTAGAACCACATTCTTTTTTTTTAATTAAAAAAAACTTGTTTTCAATTACAGTTTACATTCAGTATTATTTGTATTAGTTTCAGGTGTGCACCATATTGGTTAGACAATTATATATTTTACAAAATTTTCTTCCTGATATTTCCAGTACTTAACTGGCACTAAACATAGATCGTTTTTACAGTATTATTGACTGTATTTCCTCTGCTGTACTTAAAAAAACCACATTCTTTGAAAGAGACTCATGCGTGTACTAATGACCTAATTCTACAGTTAGGATAAAACCTAGAAATTTGCACCATACACTTTTTGAACCCAACCCCTACAGTGCTTTTCATAGACTCCAATTGTACTTTAATTTTGTTAAAATTTAGAATTGCACGAAATTAAATCACACCATTGACTTTACCTGCCCAACAATTGTAGAACATTCATCTTCCTAAAATGAGAAATCATTTTGTCTCTCAGAATACTTTAGGCTGCTCTTAAAATCTTTTGACACCAGAGTTTTCATTTGTACAAACGGGACTAAGGAAGAGAAAAGCAAGTGCCCTGCTCTCGTCTTTCCTTTCTGTTTTCCTAAACATACCAGAATCAGAGATTGCTCCCTAGGGATGACACTAACAAAGGACATCAGGATTTAGTGAGGCTTGTAACCAAGTATCAGTTCAAGTTTGAATGTTTTCATGTTTTGCTTTGTTGTAGTTTAGGATTTCAGAAAATATATTGGTCAGATTCTAATTTAAACAGGGTCACTGGGTGTTTCTTTTACAATTTTGCAGGATACAATTGAGTTTAAAACTAATATTTGAGTTTATTTGCAGTTCAAGTTAGTGCAGCATATTTCCATTTTAGTGCATTGTTTGGTTTAAATGCCTGAGAAGGGCGCTGTTCTGCATTGCCTTCCAAGCTTGGAGTCTACTCAGTTGACCTTAGTTGACCCAAATTGTAGCTTAGAAGAGAATAGTTGCCCGTTGGGGAAGCAGAGATGAATATAAGTCAGGAGACTTGGGTTTTAATTTCAGCCATACCACGGGGCCTATGACACTGAGTCATTCTCTTAACCACCTAAGCCTGTGAGCTCAGCTGTCAGTGAAGGTATGTTGGTTGGACTCCTTTGACTGCAAACAGAGAAACCCAAGTTATGGGTTAGAATGAGCAAGCCTGGTAGGAATCAAGACAGTGCTGGGCCTGTGTACTTTCTCTCCCTATGAGTCTGCTCAGCCTCCCGTCTTGTCCTCTCTGCTTCTCCCTCATTTCCTCCTATCAGGGAGGATCCCGTGGTGCCAGTTAATCACCAACTGGTTTGGAGCATCTTTGTAAGGCCACATATGGCCCAGGTATAAACCCTGACCATCCCTCCTTCCAATGGAGATAAAGTATTTGGCCAACACCATGAGGCACAGTGACCTGTCATAATCATCGTCATCACAGCTGCTGTTGTGAAACGCTTGCTGTGTGCAATGCACAGTATAGTACACCTTACATGTATTATTTCATTTAACCCTCACAACAGCCATTTATACATGCTGTTCCCTCTACCTAGAAACATTTTTCTCCCTAATTCCTTTTTTTTTTTTTTGGTATGTGCCCCTAGCTGCTAGGGCCTAGCGGGAACTGAACCCGGGACTCTGTGGTCCACAGGCCGACACTCCAGCCACTGAGCCAAACCAGCCAGGGCATCTCCCTAATTCTTATCAAGACTGGTTTCTTATCCTTCAGATCTTAGTTCAAATATCACCTCTTCAGAGAGGCCTTTCCTGACCACACTATCTAAAACATTCCCCACTGCCATAAACCATTCTCTATAAAGTTTTTCCCTTCATCACACTTATTACTACCTGAAATAATTTTTTTTAAATCCTCACTCGAGGACATTTCTTCCATTTTTTGTTCAGATAGAGTGGGAGGGAGAGAGAGGAAGAGAGAGAGAGAAACATCGATGTGAAAGGGACACATAGAGTGGCTGCCACCCACACGACCCAACCAGGACCGGGGACAAACTGCAACCGAGGTATGTGCCCTTAGCGGGAACTGAACCCATGTCTCTCTGGACAACAGGCTGACGCTCTAACTGCTGAGCCAAACTGGCCAGGGCTGAAATAATATTATATATTTGTTCATTGTATGTTTAACCCTGTAGAATCTTCATAGAAACGGGCTTTAGTCTGTTTTTTTTGTTTGTTTTTATAGTTTTATGTCCTGTGCTAGATATAGGGCTTGGTTGGCATGGACTAAGGCATCAAGTGTGAATAAATAAATCTTAATCCATGAGTCAGATGCAATGGTTATTATTCCCTTTTTACTGGTGAGGAAACTAAGACAAGGTAAGTGAGTTGCCCAGGCTACACAGCTAGGAAGTTGTAGAGCTGTAATTCAAACTCCAAAGCCTGAGTTCTGACATTTTCAGGTCAGTTTACAAGAGAAATTAATTTGTCCTGCCTCAGTGGCTTGTTATAAAGGGTATATATGGGAAAGCAAAATGAAGATTGTAAGGCATCATAAAATGTAAGTAATTTTAAAATGCCCTTCTGCTTCATACCACAGTATTTATATAGTGCTTTCAAGGATAGGGAGTCCCATAATTAGCATGTGGCAAAGCCAGGAATTGAACCCAGGTTACCTAAGTATAGCTGTCTCCCTTCTCCAAGTTCTCATGGGCCTTCTTCCTTCCCATCTGGATGGCCCTTCAGAAGCATTTCACATCCCCAAAACATAGACTAATTCCCCCAGTTCACTAGCACCTTTTCCAAGGTGTTGGGGTGGCCTTTGTGACCTGTTCTAGCAGTGCACCAATTCAGGTCTTCCCTGCAGCTTCAATATAGTAAGGCTGTTATTTTACTGGACTCTCATCCAACACATAGGTTACATTCTAAAGTCAACATGTTAAGGGGGTAATCTAATACTGTCACTTTACACCTGAAAAATCTCAAAATGATCAATGGGGCAGTTTACCTGGTTTTGTGTTTACATTTCTGCTGGTTTTTAAGATTTTCTTTGTTTTTAGTGTTCTGCTATTTTACCATGATATATCTAAGCAAGGACTTTCTTTTTTTTTTCTATTTCTTTATTTTTTATCCTCACCCAAGGACAATTTTTTATTTTATTCAGATAGAGTAGGAGGGAGAGAGAGAAACATCGACGTGAAGGGGACACATCAAGTGGCTGCCACCCACACAACCCAACCAGGGCTGGGGACAAACTGCAGCCGAGGTACATGCCCCTAGTGGGAACCGAACCTGGGTCTCTCTGGACCGCAGGCTGATGCTCTAACCACTGAGCCAAACCATCCAGGGCTAAGCAAGGATTTTCTTTATTGGGACTTGTGTTTATTTAAACTGAGGATTCATTTTTTTAAAAATCAATTATAGAACTCACTTTTTTATATATGATGTTTTTCTCTAGTCGTACCTTCTGGAACTTTAGTTAGCTGAATATTGAACCTTGCCCCATCTTCCATCAGTCTCTTTGATGCTCTCCATCTCTTTGCTGCCTTCTAACGCATTTCTTCAGATCTTGGAGTTCAGTAATTTGCTCTTCAATTGCAGCTCATCTGTTCAACCTATTGACTGCATTTTTGCTTCAGGTAACTTATTTTTCATTTCAGGGTGTTCTCTTTAGTTCTTTTCAAATCATTCTCTTTTTAAATTGTCTTTTTAAAATGCTTTCTGATCTTTCAATTCTGTATTTAAACATAGTTATTATAGTCTATTTCAGATTGTTGCTTTACTATTTCAATTCTTGGGGACAAAAATTGCCTTTTCAATTATATCTGCTGATCTTGCTCCCTGTTTGTGTTATATTTTTTTATTATGAGCTAGATTTTTTTTCCTTGTGTGACTGGCCTAAGTTCATTTATTTATGTTGGTTTCATAGCTTTAGGAATCCTATACCTCATAGGACCTCAAGCCGAGGTGCAGTGCACACCTGATGTTTTGGTTTCTCATGCCAGGATTTTATTTCTCCCTTTATAGAGCCTCAGGCAGAGTTAAGCTTTCTTGCTGATCAGTGGGTCGAGTTTTTCTCCATCTTTTCTTTTTTTTCAATTTTTTTTCTTTATTGATTTTAGAGAGAGAGGAAAGGAGAGGGAGAGAGAGAGAGAGGACATCGATTGGCCACCTCCTGCATGCCCCCCACTGGGGATTGGGCCCACAACTTGGGCATGTGCCCTGACCAGGAATTGAACTGGCGACCTCCTGGTGGATGGGTCAACGCTCAACCGCTGAGCCACACCAGCCGAGCATTCTCCATCTTTTAATAAGGACTATGCTTCAGAGTCCTGGCTTTATTCACAGTTACCACTATCCCTCACATGGGCCTAAAGACCCAATACCCTAGACATTAAAGCCAAGTTCCAGGCCCATACCTGCTCCCCTTTCCCCAGCCTCTGCAGCTCAGCTCAAAATAGCCTTTCTGGATTCACTTTGTTTGTGGGCCAGCAATGGTTTACTTTTTTTTCCAGTTATATTTAGTTATATTTAATCCAGCATTTCAGGTATTTAGAATTGATAATTTCATTATATTAGCTTAGCTTAGAATTGATAACTTCATTATATTAGCATGTTGTTAGAACCAGAATTATATCTATATAGTCATCCCTCAGAACCTGTTGGGGACTGGTTTCAGGACCCTCTGCAGACACCAAAATCTGCAGTGCTCAAGTCCTTTATATAAAATGTTGTAGTATTTGTCTATAACCCACACTCAATCTCTAGGTTACTCACAATACCTAATACAGTGTAAGTGCTGTGTAAATTGGTGTTATACTGTATTGTTTAAGGGATAATAACAAGAAAAAGAAGTCTACATGTTCTCTAGGTTACTCACAATACCTAATACAGTGTAAATGCTATGTAAATTGTTGTTATACTGTATTGTTTAAGGGATAATAACAAGAAAAAGAAGTCTACATGTTCAACCCTGGCGATCAATGGGGTGGTGACAGATGTCGCAGCCAGATCGCCCTCACATCCAGAAGTCTACATGTTCAGTATAGACGCTACCATCATAGGCCTAACTACATAGTACACATTCAGAAACAACATTACAGTTTTTTTCCCAAACAGTTTTGATCCTGTTAGTTTAATTGAATCTTTGGATATAGTACCCACAGGTATTGAAGGCCAGCTGAATAATCCTATAAAGTATTACTTATGCACACTGACATTTAAGACCACTAGACCACTGAGCTCAATGACATTTTTTTTTAAAAAGACTCATTAGAAGTCTTGGCACTTAAGTCATTCTGCTGTATTCCGAAGATGAGGCAGTAGGTGTAGAATTTTGTCACTCTTGTTCCTGTTTCCTTATTGGTCTTACCCATTCTATTTAAATGTTAAGCCCCTTGAACTTTAAAGTACTAATGAATTTATTTATTTATTTATTTTTCTCACCCAGGGACTTTTTTTTTTTGCATTTATCTTCAGATAGAGTGGGAGGGAAAGAAGAAGGAAGAGAGAGAGAGAGAAACATCAATATGAGATACATCGAGTGGCTGCCACCCACACGACCCTAACTGGGCTGGGGACAAACTGCAATCGAGGTACATGCCCTTAGTGGGAACTGAACCTGGGACTCTTTGGTCCACAGGCCGACGCTCTAACCGCTGACCCAAACCAGCCAGGGCAAGGAATTTATTTTTATGAACGTTAAAGGAATAATATATGTGAAGACACAGGAATTGGCTCAATAAATATTTGGCAGGTTTGAATATACATCATGTTTGATATGAATCAAATCAATAGGGTCTTTTAAAAAGTCAGTAGAGACGATCTTGGACCAACAACTTTCTGTCATCTTTCCAAGTTAGCATTTCCTGTTGTGGCCCTACGACATCACACACAGAGCCTTGGAAAATAGGTTTTATGACTAAAATAGTAGTACTGGAATTGTTGAATGCCTAGAGATCTTTTCTGCCCATGTTTCTCCCTTCCTTACCTTCCAACTACCAGTCAATCAAGGGCATTGTGGCTCCCTTTGTATCCTGACTCCACACTGAAACTGATGGCCAACTGTGTATTTATTCAGTGGAGAACATGAACTTGGCACTGGCTTATCTTAATGCAGTAAATGTTTCCATCTTTTATGAAATCCATTAATGAATTTGGTGTCTGATGCCTGTCCTGAATATAAGTAGTGCTTCAGTGATTTAGAAAATATGTAGTCAGTTCTAGACTGTGGTTATCTACATTGCCAGCGGGACTTGCATTCTGTTCAGGGAGTTTGACAAGGTGAAAGTCCTTGTTCTCTTCTTTTTCTATGAGTACAAAAAGTTCCAGTTGATCCTGATTGAGTTAGCATCATTTTTGGATTCTTGAAAGCTTTGGCTCTTTCAGCATTGATTCCAGTTTCACTTTTTCCTTGCCTTTTTTAATCTTTAATGTTATAATGACGTATGCTTATCCATTATTGTTAAAATTTCCTCCTACTTTAATTTCAGTGTACTGGTGTCACTGTAATTCATTAGTGTATACTCAGAACTAGCTTATAATTCTTTCTTGTTTTTTTGTTACTCCTCACTTGAGGATATTTTTTCCATTGATATTTTTTTTTAGAGAGAGAGAGAGCAAGAAACATCAATGTAAAAGAGACACATCAATTGGTTGCGCCCCGCACGCACCCTGACCGGGGCCAGGGATCAGATCTACAACCCAGGTAGGTATGTTTCCTTGACTAGGAATCAAACCTGAGAACCTTCAGTGCACAGGCTGACGCTCTAACCACTGAGCACACCAGCCAGGGCTAGCTTATCATTATTTCTAAGAATGTTACTGAATCCTTGATTTTTGTTTCTCTAACAGAAATGAACCTTTGAACTTCTGTGTTTATTAAGAAAATATAACATCTCTAACTTGTTTTTCAAACTCTTATTTTGTAGGTGTTTGAAATTTAATGTTACTGGGTAATGTTGGATTCTGTTTTTCAGGTGGAAGATGAGCTCAGTTCTCCAGTAGTAGTGTTCAGGTTTTTCCAGGAATTACCAGGCTCAGGTAGGTGATTTTAAAAACAGTTCTTTTTGTGTATTTAAGGGCTTTGAATTTTAAACTATTTCAAGTGAAATACATAGTCCAAAATATTTTGATTGCGCCCTGGCCAGTTTGGCTCAGCGGTTAGAGCGTTGGCCTGCGGTCTGGAGAGACCCGGGTTCGGTTCCCGCTAAGGGCACGTGCTTCGGTTGCAGTTTGTCCCCGGCCCTGGTTGGTTGTGTGGGTGACAGCCACTCGATGTGTCCCTTCACGTCGATGTTTCTCTCTCTGTCTCCCTCCCACTCTATCTGAACAAAAAATGGAAAAATATCCTTGGGTGAGGATAAAAAAAAATATATATATATTTTGATTGCTAAAATCTTCAGTTGTAATTTCAGAAAAATGTAATAATTTTCATAAGAACTTTAGACCTAAAGGCCATAGCATTTTACTGATAATTTCCTATGTTAAACCAGTGGTTTCCAAATGCTAGTTCCTGCACTCGTACTGGAATGAATGAGAAAGAGTCACTTGAAATCAGAGGTTTGGAGACCCTACTTACTAGATATTTTGATTTGTAGGTTGAATCCTGGAATCTCTCTTTTTTAAGAATGTCCCAAGTGCCACCAACCTAGTCCAGGGCGCTGTTATTTTTCACCTAGATGACCACAGTCCCCTCAACTGATCTGTCAACTTCCATATATTCCACACACCTCATTCTAGACCTTTCGCCACATGGCGGTCTGAGTGAGCATTATAAGTGGAAGTCACATGTGTCACTCTCCAGGATCTTATTGTTTCAGTTGAATAAGGCTAAGGCTCTGTACTAGGCCTTGCAAGGCCTGTAGTTCTAGCCTTTGCCTTCTTCTCTTTCCCTTAGGCAACTTTTCTTTCTGCTTACTAGACTAAGACTTCCTTGCTGTTCCCTGACCTCTAATACATTTCCCCATGCTCATCTTCTGGCTGGCTTCTCACCATTTTGGTCTCCGTGATGTCCACCTTCTCAGAGAGGCCTTCTTTCATGGCACTCAATTTCATTTCTTTTTTTATGGTCTGTTTCCTCAAGTAGAATGTAAACTCCAAGATGACTAAAACCTTATTAGCCTTATATCCCTCGGGCCTGGCACGAGTAGGCACGCAGACCGTTTGATGAGGAGAGGATAAGTCTGTGTGAAGCCCAGCTGTTGGGTGGGTTCTCTGATTTACCTTACACAGTGCCTAGTTGAAAACTTACTATGTTATGTTTTGATTTCCTTTTGAAATTCCTTTAAAGAAAACTGTTTAAATGAATTAAGAATTCTGTTTGTATGAATATATTTAAGAGTTGTATTTTTTCATGAAAAAAAAAATTTAGTGAGATAACATTTCTTTTTAAGTTGTGATTTTAAAAACATAAAATTTATCACCTTAACCATTACATGTACAATTCATTAATATTAAGTACATTCACACTGCACAGCAGCTCTCCAGAATTCTTTCATCTTGTAAAACTGATACTCTGCACCCATTATACAACAGCTCCCCATTTCCTTCCTCTTCCCAGCACCTGGCAACCACCATTCCCCTGTGTGTTTCTATTCATTGGATTTCAAGTACCTCATAAAACAGAAGCATGCAGCCCTTGTCCTTTTGTGACTGGCTTATTTCACTTAGAGCAGTGTCCTCAGGGTTCAGCCCTGCTGAGCATGTGACAGAATCTCCTTCCTTTATATAGGCTGATAGTTCATTTCATGTATATACCACATTTTGTGCATCTATTCATATAAGATATACATTTGATTTCTGTAGTATTTGAGACTGTTTTAGGGGGTTAATGTTAGGAGCTAAATGAAGTGGTTGGGAAGGGTGCCTTATTTAGTTTGCTGTGTTTCTGAGAGGTGAATCCCATTCTCTGTTTTGGTATCAGATCCAGTGTGTAAAGCTGTCCCAGCACCCAACATGGCACCTTCAGCAGTCGGCCGGGAGAGACACTCCTGTGATGCACTGAATCGCTGGGTAAGAATGGCAGGCGTGTGCTTCCTTCTGTGTCCCAGGTGGTTGGGATAACATGTGGTCATGTCTGGGAAAAGAGACCCAGGGGACAGAGCCTTCTATGAAGGCACTGGGCTTTGTTCTGGGGTTCTGTTCCTAATCGAATCACTGCCTCACATACTGCGTGATTTCTGGCAAGTCCTCCCAGCATATTCCCTCAGTTCCCCCACACGCCCATTTTTTTGCTTTCAAACAACATGCACAATGTGAACTGCAGTGCAGCTGCTTTGGGGTTCTAGTGAGGGAGGGTCTGTGGTGATATCAGAAGGCACATGAGCAGAGGCCCCTGAACATCGCTGGCAGTTTGCCAATATGAATCGAAGGCGTTGTGCTTTAGCTGCCTTTTGACACTGTAATTGTACCTCCAGGGATCTTAGTCTAAAGAATGTTCTAAACAATATAAAGAATTTTAGCACACTAGTATCAATCCTAGCAAAACACTGGACATGCCCAACCTAGGAGGTTTGGTGATTTAATAATGGTACATCCATGCAGTGATGTTCAAAGGAGCCAGATTAAACCATGTAGCTGGCTGTTTATGGAAAAAAGGAAATAGTCATGAGTTAAATCAGCGGTTCTCAACCTGTGGGTTGTGACCTTTTTGGGGGTCGAACGACCCTTTCACAGGGGTTGCCTAAGACCATCAGAAAACACATATTTCCGATGGCGATTCATAACAGGAGCAAAATTACAGTTATGAAGTAGCAACAAAAATAATTTTATGGTTGGAGGTCACCACAACCTGAGGAACTGTATTAAAGCATCACGGCATTAGGAAGGCTGAGAACCACTGAGTTAAATGAAAAAATGCAGGTTACTGCACAGTGTATATAGACTGTCCTGTTTTATGACAATAACAACAAAGCCCACACACAGACACAAAGAAAAACAAGGTGGTTATGCCACATGCAACAGTGGGTGTTTCTCAGTGGTGTATTGTGGGTAATTTTTATTTTATTCCTTTGGTTTACTTTTATTTCCTAGATTTTTCTACAATGAACTTAGTTGTGGGTTTTTTGTTTTTTTTTTTAATTAAATTAAGAATAGATGTAAAATTTACTGTGTTTAAAAATGAATTGCCATAGTATTCAAAGAGAATCAAAAGATGAAAGGAAATCAGCCCCCCAGGAGCTTCAGGGTTCTGGGGCTGAATGGATGAGGGCAGGTCTGAAGACACTTGATTCCCTCCTTTCAGGGGCGAGTTCATTCTACACTTTTTCCTACAGCTGGGAGAACAGCTGAAACAGCTGGTCCCTGCGAGTGGCCTCACTGTCATGGATCTGGAAGCGGAGGGCGTGTGCGTGAGATTCAGCCCTTTGATGACAGCAGCAGGTAACTGTCTCCGTGGACTGCCCCCACTTTTGTTCTGGGGAGCAACAGTGATATGTCTATGAAAGTTCAGGCTGTGGGGCTGATAGCCTTCCCTTGTGGTATTCTGCTCTCTTTGGAGAGGCTTTTTCTTTTGGGTTAAGTTTCGGTAGATTAGCCTTCTAGTATAATTTCTCAGAAACAGACTTCTGAAGTCACGTGAACTCCTTCTATGTATTGATGTCTTTTGACCCTTTTCTGTCTAATGGTTCTCAGTGCAGACCGCACATTAGAATCATCTGTGAAGCATTGAAAATTCCCAGCGACTGAGCCTCACCTATAGAGTTTCTGATTTACGTGGTGTAGAATGGAGCCTAAGCATCTTATCTTTAAAAGTTCCCTTGGTGATTCACATAGGCCAGCAAAGGTTGAGGGCCACTTTTAGTCGCTTAAGAAAGCACTGTATCCCTGGCCAGTGTGGTTAGAGCGTTGGCACATGCACCTATGGGTCACAGGTTTGATTCCCCGTCAAGGGCTCATACCTGGGCTACAGGTTCTGTCTCTGGCTTCAATCAAGGTGTGTGCAGGAGGCAACCAATAGATGTCTCTCTCTCACATCTATATTTCTCTCTCTCTCTCTCTCTCTCTCTCTCTCTCTCTCTCTCTCTCTCTCTCCGTCCTTCCCTCTCTTCCACTCTTTCTAAAAATAATGGAAAAAATATCCTCGAGTGAGGATTAACAAAGAAACAAAAATTAGAAAGCAGTACAGCTGAAAGTACATGCACTTTGATTACCAATCCTGGGTATTTGTCCCTCCCTTGACCACATCATACCTGTGGGGAGGGACCTTGAGCAAGCTTCTTATCTCCACACCTGTTCCCCACTACCTTATGGTAATGGTACAAAGATTAAAATGAGACCATGTAGCCCTGGCCGGTTTGGCTCAGTGGTTAGAGCGTTGGCCTGCGGTCCGGAGAGTCCCAGGTTTGGTTCCCGCTAAGAGAATGTACCTCGGTTGCAGTTTGTCCCCGGCCCTGGTTGGTCATGCGGGTGGCAGCCACTCAATGTGTCCCTTTCACATCGATGTTTCTCTCTCTCTCTCTCTTCCTCTCTCTCCCTCCCATTCTATCTGTACAAAAAATGGAAAAATGTCCTCAGGTGAGGATGAAAAAAAAATAAAAAAAATGAGACCATGTATATGAAATACCTTAGGTAGTGCTTAGCATATTATGGTAGGCACTTAAAAATAAACTGAAGCAGCCAGACCAGTGTGGCTCAGTGGTGGAGCATCAACCCATGCACCAAGGTCAGTGGTTTGATTCCTGATTAGGGCACATGCCCGAGTTTCAGCCTCAATCCCCAGCAGGAGGCAGCTGATTGATGTTTCTCTCGCATCAGTATTTTTTCTCTCTCTCTCTCTCTCTCTCTCTCCCCCTCTCCTTTCCTCTCTAAAATCAGTAAAAGCATATTTTTTTTTTTTTTTATCCTCACCCGAGGATATTTTTCCATTTTTTGTACAGATAGAGTGGGAGGGAGAGAGAGGAAGGGAGAGAGAGAGAGAAACATCGACGTGAAGGGACACATCGAGTGGCTGCCACCCGCACGACCAACCAGGGCCGGGGACAAACTGCAACCGAAGTATGTGCCCTTAGCGGGAACCGAACCCGGGTCTCTCCGGACCGCAGGCCGACGCTTTAACCGCTGAGCCAAACTGGCCAGGGCAGTAAAAGTATATTTTAAAAATATAAGCAGAAGCCCTGGCCTGTTTGGCTCAGCTGTTGGGGCATTGGCCCACAGGCTGAAGGGTCTTCAGTTCAAATCCTGGTCAAGGGTATATACCTCGGTTGCAGGTTCTATCCCCACTCTGGTCAGGGTCATGTGGGAGGCAACCAATCGATGTGTCTCTTACATCAATGTCTCTTTCCCTCACCCTCTCACCCTCTCTCCCGCTCTCTGTCTCCTTGTCTCCCTCTCTACCTTCCATTCTATCAAAAAAAATCAATGGTGAGAATTAACAAAAAAACAAAAAACCTTAGGTGAGAATTAACAAAAAAATAAAATAAGCAGAAAAAAGATGTATTGGGGGTGAGGAGGACTGGAAGAGATAAACCAAAGAACTGATATGCATGTACGCATAACAAATGGACACAGACAACAGTGGAGTGTCAATGGCGAGGGGAGTACATCTGTAATACTTTCAACAATAAAGATAAATTTTCAAAAAAGATGTATTAAAATTTTTTGTTCTTTTATTGAGATGATTTAAACATTTTCAGAAAATGTTTGGTGGTTTTTCATGAGATATTTTCAACATTTTGGGAAAGATATTTTCTCAAAAAAATCAGAGGAGGGGAGTTTAGGCATAAGTCCTGCAGAGGAAAGCTATTGTGAAGATGGCTGATGGCCTCAGGATTCTTTAGGAGTCTTTGCTCCTGCTGTGCGGAGTCCTTACCCAAGCCTCAGAGGCTTGGTCTTTAAAACTGGAAGAGCCAGTGCTCTCTTCAGCAGCACATATACTAAAATTGGAACAATACAGAGAAAATTAGCATGGCCCCTGCACAAGGGTGATATGCAAATTCATGAAGCGTTCCATATTTTTTACCACTGGATAGATATTCTGCACAAAAAATTAACAAGGACACAGGGTCCTTAAATGACGAACTAGATCAGTTGGACTTAATTGATATTTACAGAACATTTCACCCCAAAGCTGCAGAATATAATTTTTCTCAAGTGCACACAGGACATTCTCAAAGATAGACCACATGTTAGAACACAAAGTAAGTCTCCACAAATTCAAGAAGATTGAAATTATATCAAGCATCTTCTCAGATTACAATGGCATGAAACTAGAAATCAATTACAATAAAAACATTTAAATACATGGAGGCTAAATAGCATGTTATTAATCAACTAATGGGTTACCAAGGAGATTAAGGAAAAAATTAAAAACTTCCTGGAAACCAATGAAAATTAACACACAACAATACAAAATCTATGGGATGCAGCAAAAGCAGTCCTGAGAGGGAAGTTCATAGCACTATAGGCCTACCTCAAAACAAGAAAAATTCCTAATTGACTTTCTAACCCTACAACTTCAAGAACTAGAAAGTAAACAAAAAGAAAACCCCAGAGCAAGTAGAAGGAAAGAAATAGTAAAGGTCAGCGCAGAAATAAACAACATAGAAACTAAAAAAATAAAAATAATTCAAAAGATCAGTGAAACAGCCCTGGCCGGTTTGGCTCAGCGGTTGGAGAGTCGGCCTGCGGTACAGAGAGACCCGGGTTCGGTTCCCGCTAAGGGCACGTACCTCGGTTGCAGTTTGTCCCCGGCCCTGGTTGGTCGTGCGGGTGGCAGCCACTCGATGTGTCCCTTCACATCGATGTTTCTCTCTCTCTCTCTCTTCCTCTCTCTCCCTCCCGCTCTCTCTGAACAAAAAATGGAAAAATGTCCTCGGGTGAGGGTAAAAAAAAAAAAAAAAAAAAATCAGTGAAACAAAGAGCTAGTTCTTTGAAAAGATAAACAAGATTGATGAACCCTTAGCCAGACTCACCAAGAAACAAAAAGAGAGGACCCAAATTAAAAAAAAAAAAATCAGAAAGAAAGAGAAGAAACAGCTGACACCACAGGACCATTAAAACATACTATGAACAATTATATGCCAACAAATTGGACAATCTAGGCAAAATGGACAAATTCCTAGAAACACACAGTCTGCCAAAATTGAACAGGGAAGAGATAGAAAATTTGAACAGACCGATAACAACTAAGGAAATTGAAGTTGTAATCAAGAAACTTTCTGAAAACAAAAGCCCAGGCCCAGATGGCTTCACAGGGAGTTGTACCAAACTTTCAAAGAAGATCTAACACTCATTCTCCTCAAACTATTCCAAACAATCCAAGAAGACAGAAGACTTCCAAACTCATTTTATGAGGCCAGCATAATTCTAATTTTAAAACCAGGTAAAGACACTACAAAGAAAGAAAGCTACAGGCCTATCCCTGATGAACACAGATGCCAAAATCCTTAACAAAATATTACCAAATTGGATCCAGCAATACATCAAAAATATTATTCACCATAATGTGGGATTCATCCCAGGAATGCAAAGCTGGTACAGTATTCGCAAATCAATAAATGTGATACATCACTTAAACAAAATGAGAGATAAAAATCATAATCATATTAATAGATACTAAAAATGCATTTGACAAAATCTAGCACCCATTTCTGATAAAAGCGCTCAGCAATGTGGGAATAGAGGGATCATATCTTGACACAATAAAGGCCCATATATGAAAAACCTACAGCCAATATCATACTCAATGGGCAAAAACTACAAGCATTTCCCTTAAGAATAGGAATAAGGGATGGCCATTTTTGCCACTCTTATTTAACATAATACTGGAAGTCTTAGCCACAGCAATTAGACATGAAGAAAACAAAAGGAATCCAAACTGGAAAGGAAGAAGTTAAACTTTCATGATTTGCAGATGACATGATACTGTACCTAGAAACCCCTAAGACTCCATCAAAAATCTACTTGATTTAATTAATTTAGCAAAATAGCAGGATACGAAATTAATGTCAAGAAATCAACGGCATTCTTATACACCAACAATGAACTCACAGAAAGAGAAACTAAAAATGCAATCTCATTTACTATTTTGGCAAAAAAAATTAAGATGCCTAGGAATAAACCTAACCAAAGAAGTAAAGGACCTATTTGCAGAAAACTATAGGTCACTGAAAAAAGAAATAGAGCAAGATATTAAAAAGTAGAAGCATAGACCTCGTTCATGGATTTGAAGAATTAACATCATTAAAATGTTCATATTACCCAAAGCAATCTATAAATTCAATGCAATCCCCATCAAAATACCGACATATTTGACAGAACTAGAACAAATACTCCGAAAGTTTATATGGAACCAAAAAAGACCCTGAATAGCCACAGCAATCTTGAAAAAGAACAAAGTAGGAGGGATCACAATACCAGATATCAGGTTATACTACAAAGCCATAGTCAAAACAGCCTGGTACTGGCACGAGAACAGGCATGTAGATAAATAGAACAGAGAACCCAGAAATTAACTCAAGACATTATGCTCAATTAATATTTCACAAAGGTGGCAAGAGCAAACAGTGGAGTAAAGACAGTTTCTTCAATAAATGATATTGGGAAATTTGGACTGTTAATACAAAAAAAAATGAAACTATACCATCAACTTACACCATACATAAGAATAAACTCAAAATGGATAAAAGACTTAAATGTGACTTGTGAATCCATAAAAACCCTAGAAGAAAATGTGGGCAACAAAATTTTAGACATCACATGCAGCAGAATTTTCACTGATACAGCGCCTAAGGCAAGAGAAACAAAGTAAAAAAGGAACACATGGGACTACATCAAACTAAAAAGCTTCTGTACAGCAAAGAAACAAGTTATCAAAATGGAAAGGGAACCCACTATATGGGAGAGTGTAATTGCCAATGATGCATCAGATAAGGGGTTAATTTCTAAACTATATAGAGTACTCGTTCAACTCAACAAAAGGAAGACAAACCAATTAAAAATGGGCAGAGGACCTAAATAGACACCTCTCCAAAAAGGACATACAAATGGCCAAGAGATGAAAAAGTGCTCAACAAGAGATGCAAATTAAAACAACTGTCACTTCACACCTGCCAGAATGGCTGCCATCAACAAATCATCAAACAATAAGTGCTGGCAAGGGTGTAGAGAAAAGGGGACTCTGGTACACTGCTGGTGGGAATGCAGACTGGTGCAGCCACTATGGAAAACAATATGATGTTTCCTCAAAAAATTAAAAATTGAACTGCCATTTGACACAGTGATCCCACTTCTAGGAATATACCCTAAGAAGCCTGAAATCAGAAAAAATACATGCACCCCTGTGTTCATAGCAGCACTCTTTACAGTCGCTAAGATCTGGAAACAACCCAAGTGTCCATCAATAGATGAGTGTATAAAAAAGCTGTGGTACATGTACACAATGGAATACTATGCAGCTGTTAGAAAGAAAGATCTTTTATCCTTTGGGACGACATGGAGGGACCTGGAGAGTATTATCCTAAGCAAAAAAAGCCAATCAGAGAAAGATAAATATTACATGATCTCACTTATTTGTGGAATATAATAAACAAAACAAGCTGATGAACAAAATAGACCGAGACATAGAAGTAGGGTACAAACAAACCTCAGAAGAGGGGGTTGGGGGTGGGGAGATAAACCACAGAACTTATATGCATGTGTGTGTAACCATGGTCATAAACAGTAATGCTGGAGGGGGGGCGGAATGGGGAGGAGGGTGTCAATGTTGGGGGGAAACATCTATAGCAAAAATAATAAAATTAAAATTTTAAAAACTGGCTGAGCGAGCTGAGGACCCCAAGGCAGCATGTACTGAGGCTTAATGTGATCATGTGCAGAATTCCACTGGACAGAAGTGAGGGAGTAGGGATGGTGCCAAGACTCCTGGATCCCTGCAGCCCTGAGACCTCTTGGGCTCTGACCTTCAGAAGTGACTTAGTTCTGTCTTCATCATCCTGCCCTTCCTGCCTCCCTACCACAAACAGGGGCCAAAATCTCTTTCTTTCCAAGATGTTAATGTATAGAAAGAATTGTATAGTTGCCTCTTTGTTTTTAACCTGCAATTGGATGTTTTATAACGTGACTTAATCAGAATTTTTCTGTGGGAAGAATCCGATTTTTGTGTAAGTCAAACAAGTTGATTCTGTCTTTGTAAGAAAATAAACTTGGAGGAACTGAGTATATTAATTCTCAACACCAGATTCTTCCATAAGTAGGTTTAGTAGCTTTTTCTTTTTTCTTTTTTTTTTTAGCTCCTTTGCTCCAGCTAATTGGATGCACCTGGAGCTTTTGGCCTTTGTGGTAAAGGAAGTGGGAGCCCTGCCTTCTCATTTTTACCTGTTCCTTAAGCATTTCTCTAACGTCTGAATGTTTTCAGTTTTAGGAACTCAGGGAGAGGACGTGGATCAGCTCGTAGCCTGTATACAAAGCAGGCTGCCGGTCCTGACCTGCACACTACAGCTTCGAGAGGAGTTCAAGCAGGAAGTGACAGGAACAGCCGGCCTCTTACACGTTGATGACCCTAACTGGCCTGGAATAGGGGTTGTCAGGTATGGTTTTGGCTTGCTGCCTGATTTTAAATTCTCTTTGCTAAATAAAGACCCTGGTCATTTTATGAACCAACTTAAAAATCTCAGATGAATATGTTAGTCACTGTATACATGTCTAATGAATATTCAACTAGATGTTCTGGACACTTACAAAAGCACATGCAGGCCTGGCCGGTGTGGCTCAGTGGTTGAGCATCAGCCCATGCACCAAGAGGTCACCAGTTCGATTCCTGATCAGGGCACATGCCCAGGTTGTGGGCCAGATCCCCAGTAGGGGGCATGCAGGAGATGGCCAATTGATGTTCTCTCTCATCGATGTTTCCATCTCTCCCTTCTTCTCTATAAAATCAATAAAGAAAAAAAAATTTTTAAAGCACATGCAGCAGGTGACGGGCCCACCACTGTACTGAGTGCAGTAGGAGTTGCTGTGTGTGCTTTCTGTGCCAGCTCCAGGCGCTGGGAGGTGTGTACAGGTACTGACAGGTGGTAGATGGTTCCTGCGTGTGAGAAAAAGGGCTTAGTTCCCCAGTAGAGCAAACTCCTGTGTCCTCTGTAGTCATTGTGCTGTCTGCCCTTCCCGTAGCTGCTTTCCATCTCCTTTCAGGACGAGGAACACCTCCTTTTTTTAATCACAAAGAATGAGACTTCCAGACCTTGTCCTCTCTTAATTTCACGCACTTACAGACTTGGCCTTTCCTTTAGACATTTTGACTTTGGAACCCTGAGTGGCTCCTTTGCCCATTTGCTTCATTCCACATTCTTGGTAAACTCCTGTAGCTTGTAACTCTCCCTGTAATCCTGTGTCTGAAGAGACATTTGATATTCTAGATTTAAATACTGTTGTTTGATGTTGTTTATAGGTATGAACATGCTAATGATGATAAGAACAGTTTGAAATTGGATCCAGAAGGGGAAAAAATCCACACTGGACTCCTGAAAAAGTTAAACGAACTGGAATCTGACCTTACATTTAAAATGGGTAATTACTATTTTTATAAGTCAACTGTGAACTTTGCAAGGACATTTCTGACTGTCTTAATTAAGAGAAAACAGGCTCTATCTCCTTAAGGAAATGTTTTGTTGTTTTTTTTTTTATCCTCACCCGAGGACATTTTTCCATTTTTTTGTTCAGGTAGAGTGGGAGGGAGAGAGAGGAACAGAGAGAGAGAGAGAAACATCGACGTGAAGGGACACATCGAGTGGCTGCCACCCGCACGACCAACCAGGGCCGGGGACAAACTGCAACCGAGGTACATGCCCTTAGCGGGAACCGAACCCGGGTCTCTCAGGACCGCAGGCCGACGCTCTAACCGCTGAGCCAAACCGGCCAGGGCAAGGAAATGTTGGTTTAGTTCTTCCTATAGGGGGTGAGATAGCTCCTTTCCCATTCTGCAGCCTCTCTGGGCTTCCTGTCGCCCCATTAGAACCACTATCCCCGCCCCTCAGGGGGGCTCCTTTGTGCTACATGCTGTTGTACAGAAAGGCAGTGCCATGTCTGATACATGGCAAGTAACCAAATTGGTCTGTTGTTTCTTCCCACAGGCCCTGAGTATAAAAGTATGAAGAGCTGTATTTACATTGGCATGGCACGTGACGACATAGATGTTTCTGAACTAGTGGAGACCATTGCGGTCACAGCCCGAGAAATTGAGGAAAACTCAAGGGTCTGTAAGACTAATGAGCATCTCATTCCCTTTCTGGGTTTTGCCTGGGCAACCAGCTAGAGTCACAAATGTCTGTTCATTAGATCTTTCCCCAAAAGTTTTTTTTTTAGAGTTTTTATTTTTTTTCATCATTGATGTTAGAGAAAGGAATGGAGAGAGAGAGAGAGACATTGATGAGAGAGAACATCGATTGACCGCCTCCTACATGGGGATCAGGCCTATAACCTGGGCATATGCCCTGACCGGGAATCAAACTGGCGACCTCTTGGTGCATGGGCCGTCGCTCAACCACTGAGCCACACCAGCCAGGCTCCCAAAAATTTTTTAAAGACTTGCTATGAATTAGGCATTGTGCCAGGCACCGGGAATGCCAAGTGGGTTTGACATGGTCCCTGCCCTCAGGGAACTCACAAGCCAGTGGGGAAAGAGATACATATAACCAAGTGAGGTGGTAAATGCTATGCAGTGGAAGTTAGGGGTGGCTGAGCATTGAGGAAGATGCATTTACACTGCCTGCCAAAGACACAGAAGACTTCCTGGTTGTAGCTGGGTCCTGAGGCTGAATGAGAAAGATGTTTCTGATAACTGGAACTTCCATCAGCAATAGACCTGCTCCTGTTGGCCAGTTGGCATGGAGGAGCAGGTGTGAGACTTTAAGTTGGTTCTTCAAACCAGAGATTGGGGTCACTAGAAATCACTCAAAAGGAGAGAAAATGGACGAAAACAGGACTTATCTGAGAGGAGACAGAAATGTGTGTCGCATGTTTCACTTTTGGTAGGGGTGGGGAAGAGAAGGATGTTTGAAATGAGGCTGAGGAGCCAGCTTTATTCATTCTTGGGTGGACTTCTTGCAGCTTCTTCCAAACTGGACTATATCACTGCTGACTCCATTTCCATATATGTGGAGCTATGTGTCTATTTTCTATTGATCTGACTTTCAAATCATAGAAACAGTAATTTCTCTCTGTTCCCTGGCTATGAGGTTGGTCACCAAGGTATGTCTGCCTAGGCCTCCTTGAGCATTTTATCCTGTTCTGTTTGATTTTTCTGTTTTATTTTTACACTGACATTTTAAAGTGCAGAATTCCATTTACTAACAAACCTTTGAAAAATGTCCCCAGTTCTGTGTTAATAGTTATTGTAGGCCCCGGGCAATAAGTTTAGATGACAAGTAATGCTTTTCTTGGTCTTAACACAGCTTCTGGAAAACATGACAGAAGTGGTTCGGAAAGGAATTCAGGAAGCTCAGGTTCAACTGCAAAAGGCCAATGAGGAGCGCCTTCTGGAAGAGGTAAGTTTGCAGAGCGGCTCAGGCTGGGAGCCAGGCTGGACAAGGTGATGTTGAGCAATGTTATGTTTTGCAGGGGGTGTTACGGCAGATCCCAGTGGTAGGATCCGTGCTGAATTGGTTTTCTCCAGTCCAGCCTTCACAGAAGGGAAGAACGTTTAACTTAACAGCAGGTAGGACTAGTAGGCTCCTCCCAGATTTCATGTACCTTGAGAGTTTTGACCAAATGCTCTGCGATCCCACGCTCATGCTGAAAAGCCTTGTGTGCGTCCCAGGCTTTATCCTGGGTACTGTGCCAGGAATCTGCCTGCTCCTGTGACTTTCTCATCTCCCTCTCCCTCCCCCGCTGCTGAAATGGCATGAAAGCACATATGCATTGCCCTTAGCAGGCCTCTCTCTTCCTGGAATCCAACAAGAACATGTTCACTCAGCTGTTCAAACCCTCAAGACTGGGCATTTTGGTTCAGTGTTAATATGGCAGTCCTCATTAGTGTTTTGCTCAGCAAAAGGCAAAGGGACAATTAAAAGACTATGGTCCATAGCACTGGGCCATTTGATTTCAAACCAGCAAGAATTACCAGTTGCTGGGGTTTGGGGAAGATGATATCCAACTATAGAACCCCTCCTTTCCTGTTACCAAGGGCCCCTTCCTGTGTCCCTTCCCCAGGAAATGATGACTCCATTGTCATATGACAAATAGATAATCTGACTTTTAACACATCATGCCTCAGCTTTTAGCAGAGACATCCATTCCTTGTTGCTAAAGCACTCCAAGGGAGAAGTTAGAGTCTTTCCCACTTGGGCCTGGCTTTCCAGGCATGTGTAGGTGGGCCACATTGCCGGCTGTTTCACATGTACACAGGATACCTGGGGAGATAAGGATGAAACACCCTAGCAGGGCCAGGACTCGTGAGCATAGCTGTGAGATGGCTTTCTCCAGCTCTTGGCATGGTTCAGGAGTACCCAGTCTGTGCAAGGCTGCATGGCTTGGGGAAGCTCAGCAGGGAACAAGGCTGAGTGAGAGCATCTCCTAGGGCAGACTGTGCTACCCATCCCTCTTTCTGTTCCTGGCAGGCTCTCTGGAGTCCACAGAACACACGTATGTGTACAAAGTACAAGATACAGGAGTAACACCGCCTCAGACGCCCTCAGGCACTCGCACTAAACAGAGACTTCCAGGTACATTACGTCTGCATGTGTGAGTTCATTCACACTAAAGAAAACAGGTTGGCCCTGACCACTGTGGCTCAGTTGGTTGAGTGTCATCCCATGCACCAAGAGGTTGCCAGTTCAATTTCCATGCCTGAGTTATGGGCTTGATCCCCGGTAGGGGGCATGCAGGAGGCAGCCGATCGATGTTCTGCTCTCACGTCAATATCTCTAACATCAACTTTTAAAAATATATTTTAAAAAAATGAAAATGGGTTGTATTACTCTTGGGAAAATAGACTTTTGCATCATATAATGGTTTTCCATTTGGTTATTTGCATTCCTTTGTTTTCATGGTCTTTAACCCAAAGTCCTATCTTTCTTCAATTAAGACCAGCTGTCCCTTTAAGTAACCATTCCAGTAGCCTTGGGCTTCAGCCTCGCAGGAATACCTCTGTAGCACTCCAGAGGGGAAAGTTAGGGTCTTGAGAGCTGGCATCATGTTTAACCTGGTGTTTACTCACCTGCACTTCCCACGAATGACCTCCAAAGTTCTCAGCCTTGGGAGTGTGTTAGTCCATTATCCAACTCCCTTTTCTTGCCTCATCACTCTAATGCTTCAGAGCCAGTAATTCCAGGGATTTCTGCTGGATTTACTAAAGCAATCTCTTGTTGCACAGAGAGCTTTGTTGCAGAAGTGTCCTGTATGGAACTTTCAGTGCTGTTCATCCCATGTTTCTCTAGGCCAGAAGCCTTTTAAAAGGTCCCTCAGAGGTTCAGATGCGCTAAGTGAGACCAGCTCAGTCAGCCACATTGAAGACTTAGAAAAAATGGAGCACCTGTCCGGTGGGCTGGAACAAGAGGCCCTGGAGGCTAACAGCCCTGAGCAACACCCAGGGGCTCCCACCCCTCACGAAGCTGATCAGACTGGAGCCTTCCAGAACAGAGCTCAGGGCCCAGAAGATGACTGCCCACAGGTAGAAGAACCAGAAAGATTAAGATAAAATTCAGTGTTTGGTTCAGACTGTACTGAATATTGTGTCATGGAAGATAAAGTTATACTGAAAATGTGACCTGTGCCACATGCTAATACAAGAGAAATTGCTGTTATTTGTGTTTAACTGGATTTTGGCACAAATATGTGCCTGAAAGCCAGGCTTTCTAGGCAGGTAACTGATTTGTCTAATTTTATGGGTATAGAGAACAACAACTGTTATTTCTGTCTACTCAATTGTAATAGTATGTTTTCTCCCAAGTTACCGTAAACACTTTTTATTCACAAAGAATACTCAGAATGTCAAGTGTCTGCCACTTGAAATATTTGCTTTTATCTTGTAAACATAAGCATAAGTTATTAGATTACACATAATAACTTTTTGGTAAGACCGCTTTCTTCAGAACTCTGGGTTCTCTGCTGTACTAGTGCAGAGAGAGTTTTCTTTGCCATCTATTTTAGTTGGTGTTTAGTTTGATCAGGTTGCAGTATACAACTGGATTGTGTTGGCTTAAAGGAGAATAGGTTTCAACAAGATTGTAAATAAGAATGTCAGAGCCCTCTCCTGCCATCCCCACTGCTGCTTTCCCTGAAGACGTAAGTAAGGACTGTGTTCACTCAAGCTGTGGCAGGCTATCAAGGTAGCCTGGGCAGTGATTCTGTCTCTTTCCTCTGCCACAAATCCATTTCTCCCTTTATATACTACTTGTAAACAAATTAAAGGACTCATCTACTAAGAGTAACTGTAAAGAGTCTTCTTGACCATATATTTATATATGTATATTTTTAAATGCTGGTAAAGCTTTTAAATTGGCACAAAAGAACAGACTGTGCTCATTTCTATGTTTAATATCTGAAAACTCAATAGATGCTACTCTTAAGAGCCTAATATTAAATATTTCTGGGTAGCACCCAGTTAAATTTAAATTCTAAAATAAGTATACCTTTGACCTGTTTCACATGGGAGCTTCCATAGCTTCTGTTCCACTAGCAGCTCACCCCTTTAGGCCCAACACAGAAACAAGAACCAAAAAGTAACCTTTCTCAGGCTGACCAATCCAATCCAGACTACTGATGAAATAACTGGAAGTTAGCCTGTGATGACTGTCCATCTCTACTTTTCCAGAAGGACAGCACCCCTTCACTTAACATAGGCTCTGGCCCCTGTGCCTTCCAGTCCAGCCGTCAGACTTGAGACACCTCAAGACAGTGGGAATTCACATTGGGTTTGTGGACTGTAGTATTGGGATCCTTAGTTATACCACAGTAAGCCTGTAATTACACTCTGATTTGATGTGATGTCTGACATTTGGCACTTGTTAAAGTGCAATTTTCCTTTTCTTTCTTTTTTTTTTTTTTTTTGTCTTTTGGTGCAGATGATTAAACAAAGTCTTCCCTGTTTATTTGGTGCAATGAAGTATAGCAGATAAAATGGGGGAAGGGGAAATTATCACCTTTCACAAGATTAATTTTAAGTGGTTTTTTATATTTGGAATTGTTAAATTGGTTTTGCTGAAACAGAATTTCACCCTTAAGATACTATTTGAATGTTGGTTTCAATAAAGGTTCTTGAAATTGTTACCAGTGAGTTCAGTTCATAAATCTTACTATATTAATTGGGCATAATGACTTCTTTTTGGATAGAGAGCAACTTCAGAAAATAAAGATTTCTAAAATATAAAATTTGCATAATAATCACAATTTGGGCATTTTAATGACCTTAAACACTAAAAGAACAGATTTATCAGTGGTTTTGTATAACACTCAGACTAAATTTATTGTCATGGAAGTTTATTTTAGAGACAACTATATAATCAGGACAGTAAGATCAAACCCTGTTTGTCTTTCTGAGCCTTTCATCTCATTCATCTAGAAGTATATTTATATCTGTTTTGGATTTGATGCTTCTAAAATATTTTGAGGCCAAAAAAAAACCTTCTGTGAGATATATAAATTCTCACTGAATTTCATTGCATTTTATTTTATTTTTTTAAGGTTCATTGCATTTTAAATATTGTTTTTAAAGCAGACTCAATTAGAATTTTTCCTTTATTCACTAATTTTTTAGAATTAGAAATACTTACCTATGTAACTGAAATAGCTGTCATAGAATATTGAGCAGGTGGTCTCCTCTGCCCGTTATTACTAACCAAAAAGGAAATGCTGAATGTCAGCTTTTTAGCAAAGCAAAAAGTAAACAAATGCCTTTGCCAAAATAAGATTTTATTTTGAAAGTCATTTGAAAGACACTAAGACTCGACAGATGTAGATTCCAAATTCATATTCTGTCCAACCCCCATCAGTGGTCTCTGTCACTTCAAAAAGTTGCTTTCTTTGGTAATTCCTATTTTTAGCTTTCTGGAGAAGAGACCTTTTCCCATAAGCCATCTTCATTTTTTTTGTAGAGTAGAGCTTTATTTCCAGGAAATAGTGTATTTTTTGGAGATGGGTATTTTTTAATAAACATCAAGGTTGTTCTAATATGTTCAACAAAGTGGGGGGGCTCAGCCAGAGGTGAAGTGGAAAGGTTCTGGAAAAACAAGATATTGAGGCATGAGAGAATAACCTTGCTCTGTTCCCTGCTTTGATAAGATGTCAAATATCCTTGTGTTCCTTAAACATTAATCAGGATGTTCTCGGATCACTATGTACAATATATATATATATGTAAACTGTAGAATTACATAAGAACTGAGGTGTACTGGGTTAATACAAAAAAAGCAGTCGGTTGCCTACTGCTTCACCTATGCAAGTGGTCTGTCAGTGGCATCCTAAAAATAACTACTACCCAGTGAAGGAAAAGCAGCTATTATTGAGTCTAAACGCCTTTTTTTCTTACAGATGAGGAAACCAGGGTCCAGAGAGTTAAGATTTGCCCAACCTGTAAATTCTCACCTCTAGTATTTGCTTATCATCTTGCTGCAACCAGAAATCCACATGTGGAAATGGCATCCAGGAATACGGTCCTATACGAAGTTGTTCTGTCTTTGCATCGTAAATACTAATCATCTGAAAAAGAACATTTCAAGGATAGAATTTAAGGAATGCTATCAGCTTCACAAACCCTACCATTAAAGCACACCTCTAGTGTAGTCTAGCAGTGAAGGCATTTACCTGAATGATAAGCTCTTTACAGTTTTGTCTCCTAATAACAAAAGCTGCTGCATACTGAATACTTCCAACTGTCTGGTACTGTACTTTGTGGGTAACATATATTATTCTGTTTAATCTCGACAACAATCCTGCATGCGGATGGCATTTGTCCCATTTTGGTTGAAAACCTGAGGCTCAGAGACACGGGGCACATAGACCACAGTCAAATTCCCAGTAACCACCAGAGCTGGGCCTCAAACCCAGGAAGTCTGCATTCCTCATGGCTACATATAACACTGCCTTGTTACGTATACCTCAGCAGCTAAGTTACCCAGCAACTTTACATAATGCCTGTTGCTCCATCAAAAGAAAGGAAAAACAATTTGTAAAAGTGCTAATTTGCCAAATGATCAACTCCCTGAATTCTCAAATTTGTCAGTGGTCATTCTCAACCAGCAATGTTCGATTTTGGTTATTGAGATTGAACTGTATTCTGAATATTAGCCAAATCAAGGCAATTATTATGTACCTAAAAGGAACCCTAAAAATGTTAATGGGTTGGCAAAACAGGTCACTCAGTAAACATTATTTTCCAGTGAAAGTGTCAGCATTTCATGAGTGAGCAGATCTCTTTTGGGTGCTCTGAATGCGGTTTCTATTTTTTCATGCCACATTTTTAAAGGATTCTTTCACCCATTCCTCAAAGGGCATGTCAATCTTGGGTTTTTATTTTTCTAACTTTTAAAATGTTATTTCATTAAAAAGCACCCTTAAGGCAATCAGACTTTTAAACTGGTTTTTTTTTTAATCCTAACCCGAGGACATTTTTTGTTCAGATAGAGTGGGAGGGGGAGAGAGAGAGAAACATCGACATGAAAGGGACACATCAAGCGGCTGCCACCCACACGACCCAACCAGGGCCGGGGACAAACTGCAACCAAGGTACGCACCCTTAGCAGGGACTGAACCCGGGTCTCTCTGGACCGCAGGCCGACGCTCTAACCGCTGAGCCAAACCGGCCAGGGCTAGACTTTTAAACTGTTTGGATTAGTTTTTTGATAATTCATTCCAGCAGGCTGCTCTTTAGTTACTTGATCCAAAGGAGTATGTGATCCGAAGTACAGAAGGGGAAGCCTCTCCTTCCCCCTTCCCGGCTCATTCTTTGTAGGAACTATACAGGTAAAGTTCTTAAAGTGAAAGGGGTTCCTTCTCTTTGGATTGGATCCTAGGGGTTCACATTACTTCCCCTACACCTTCCAGGCAGGGATTTGGGATCTTGAGCTTATAATTTAAAAGCACTGAGAGAGAAGAAGAGAGGAACAGACAGACACATACTCGTGTGTGTGTGTGATGTTCCCTGATTAATTTACAGCTTTTTTTTTTTTTTCCTCACCCGAGAATATTTTTCTATTTTTTGTACAGATAGAGTGGGAGGGAGAGAGAGGAAGGGAGAGAGAGAGAGAAACATCGATGTGAAGGGACACATCGAGTGGCTGCCACCCGCACGACCAACCGGGGCCGGGGACAAACTGCAACCGAAGTACGTGCCCTTAGCGGGAACCGAACCCGGGTCTCTCCAGACCGCAGGCCGACGCTCTAACCGCTGAGCCGAACCGGCCAGGGCTAATTTACAGCTTTAAAAAAGTTGATGAACTTTTCATTTCTATGGTCTGTAAGGCTTTGGAATTTGATGCCCTTTTTCCCCTTAACCTCTTAACACAAAGATGATTCCAGACTCACTGGTCCTCCTGTTAAAGCTCGTGCAGCGCGCAGCTCCTCCTCTGGACCGCGATCTTGGAAGGAAGCTCTGTAAATCTCAGCAGTTTTCACGTTGACAGCTGTGAGGGACGACAGGATGACTCTGAGTTCACAAGAGACAAACATGGAAAGGCTTACAGTTCTCCCACCGTACATAATAAAACATGGATAAAACTCTCTCAAATACAGAATAGAATGGAAACTGAACAAAATTACTCTTAAGTGCCTGTAGCTTCCATCTTCCTGGAAAGGGAAAATGCAATGTCTTAGTGGAATATCTCACTCAAAATGGCTGAGGCTTGAGCTGAACTAGGTCAGTTAGACTGTTCCAAGCCAAGAGCTGGCCCCACAGGGAAGGCACTCTGTCTCTTCAGGCAGGTGTGTGGCAAGGCCTTCCTGGTCAGCCCTGTGACTCAACATCTCTGCAAATAGCTGGGGGTAAAGGGGTGGCTTGTGATTGGGGCCAAGTCTGGTAATTTTGTTTTCAAATTTTACTCCACATTTCAGATATATACAAAGTTACAGAGACAAAATAATGCCCACCTGTGTACCCTCCACTCAGCTAAATACATGAATACAGACATGGTAGAAGCCCTCTGCATACAGCAATTTCATCCTATTATATCCTCAGGAGTCTTAGGGACCATCACAGGAAGGTAGAAGTTTCTGGATTTTCTCTAATCTGATCATTTTACTTCCCTTTGTAGGATCTTTGTTCTCAATCAAAATCTTACTTGGTTCCCTACGTATAAGAAAAGTATCATGCCCCATTCCAGCCCCTGGGCACCCTGGCTGGAGAACAGCACAGCTGGCCGCTCAGGAGAGCAAAGAGCCACTGACACTCCCATTACTGGTGGCACCATCTGGTTTTCTCTTCCGTCTTAGAATGTGGACATATACTCTTTTGTAATTAATACTTAGAGAAGATAAGCTACTTGCCCAGGGTCCCCCAGCAAACACACAGAGGAACCTAAGGCTCTGACATCCTGACATCAGTGGGCTCACTAGTTCACAGAATCAGCCTGTAACTGGAGCCTGCCTTGTCGACGTGCGGCCAGCCTCCAACCCTCACACACACTACTCACCAATGCCATAAATGATTGGAAAGTGGTTTTCATTTTCTTCCCGGTCATTTAATTCTAACAAATAAAAAAAAAATGTTTTTAAGATCTAATTTTTAAGAAAACTAAATAATTGCTTTCATTTTGTAAACTAGAGGCCAAAAAGCGCCCACTGCAAAAGAGGGGGAAACAGTGAAAGGGACAGTTTTCCCGTTTCCCTTGCTGAGTCCCAAAGCACACAGGTTTATACTGTACAGGCTGCTACTTCCAGTTAGTGGCTTCCAGCCATCTGCAGGTCTGTCCCCCCCAGTCTGGGCCCTTCTCCTGCCCAGGAGTTCAGAGGAGGCTTCTGACAGTCCCAGGGAAGGAAAGATGAGTGGCACTGGAGCGGGTCAGCATCTCAGCTGAGGCTGAGCAGGATTTGGACACTGGGAGGGAGGGGAGCCATTCCAGCAGATGGGGAAAGCAGGACAGAAATCAGCAAAGCAGTGCAAATTGTGTCTTCCATGACTGAGGTACTGATGCTGGGACCTGCTTTAAGGCATAATGGTCCTGAAACCTACAGCTTTGTTTTGGGAAAGGTGGCAGAACTTACCCGTCACACACAGTGTCATTAAGTGAATGTCATCTTCTTGTCTGTCAAATTCACCTAAATTAGAATTTTAAAACTGGATGTCAAAAAAATTCTTTTAATTTGCAAAACATATGCTGAACAAGTGTAGAAGGTGCTGGAGGGACGGAAGACAGCTGAGCCATCTCTGTTCTACTACCCTTTCGACCACAACCTGGCCTATCGAAGGCCAGATCTGCGGGAACTGATGCCTCGGAACCCTGCCTGCCAGGTGATGGCCATGTTCCAAGCCTCGAGCCCAGCGGAAACGCTGACCAAGGCTTTCCATGTCTCTTCCATTCTGAGAGCTTTGTGGGGGATAAACTGTCTCATAGATTTTTTTACTCTTTTTCCTTCTAAAACCTTTTTTCCTGATTATCAGAGTCATAAAAACTTGGACCAATGCAAAAATTTGAAAAATACAGGAGACTATAAGGAATAATAGGTTTTTAATGGTAGAAATATATGAGTTTTTAATGCCCATAATCCCAATTAATATGCTGTGTATGCTATACGTCTGTGCACAGCTAAGCTCACAGTGTGTAGATAATTTTATATCCTGATTTTTTTGTTCATAGGTATTTTCCCATGGAATTCAAACCTCTTCATAAGCACTGTTTTTTAACAGCTACATAACCATTCCTCTACTAATGAACATTAGATTATTTCCTCTTGTAAATGTTCTACTGCCCATCTTTGGGCATAAATTCTGTGCACACTTCAGATTATTTTCTTAGAACAGATTCCCAGAAGGGGAATTACTGGGTCAAAGGATATGAACCTTTTTAAGACTTCACCATGCCACCAAATTGCTTTCCCAACAGGTTGTACCAACAATGTATATTCCAGTACTGTGTGACTATGTTACCTCACTGCCTCATGGTTAATTAACAGAGAACAATGTAGTGGTTTTTTTTTTAAATCCTTGCTCGTTGAGTAGGAAAAAAATGGTATAAGTGGCTTCATTTTCTACAGATTAAAAATAGATATTTCTGCCCGGAGGGTGGTTCTGTTTCTACATAATTCAGAGCGTTTATTATGTTGGAGTACATCAACTGCTATTTTAAAAGAAAATTTTGTCCCATCCCCTTAGCCCCTAAAAAATTTAGATGTATGCTGTTCAGTCTTTATGTAGGACTCCAAGCTGAGCAGTTTATGTCACTCCAGGAAGGTGTGCCCCTCTTAAGTTGTGTCCTCACTGGGACTTTTATCCAAGCAAAAATAGGTACAAATTTTTAACAAATTTTGGGGAAAAACAGTGAACTTACTAAGAAGTTGATGAGTAAGTTTTTGTGACAACTGCCTATCGTCACTGAAGCCGCCCACGAGGTGTACTTCCAGCCTGGCAAAGAGATGGTATGGTGGTCAGAGGCCAGCAC